GTCCTCCACAACTAGACTGAAGACTGAATGACAGCAACTTGTCTGTTCCCCTTCCCCCAATTCCCCCATAAAAATCTTAAAAAAAAAAAATCCAGTGAACAGGATGATTTCATAGGCAACATCAATGTACCTTTTTCCCTTGTATATTTATTTGTGTCTAGCAGCTCCCATTTTCCTTTTCTTTTTCATGGAAGCCAGGGTAGAGCTTCCCATCCTTTCTCCCACAGCTCCGTAATTGGAAATTTGGTAACTGTACTAAATTTAAAGTTTTGGCACTCACGTGGACCAGCCATCCATCTGCTGGCGAGACACACTGCCCGGGGCTTTTCAAGAAATCCCTTAATAGTCCTGAACACTAATAATATTTATATACATTGCGATGAGACAAAATTTACAGCAGGCTTCTGGGGCTGGCTCCAGGATGCGCTAATCCCGGATTTCCCCGCGTTCTCCTGCCTGCCTTCCAGAACCCTCTCGGATTGTGCTGCAGCCCGGAGCACACCGGCTTCCATCCCTGGAGTGGCCCCTAATTTATAGTTTGTCCTTTCGCAAACAGGTCACCTATCCTTGCTCCCTCTGTCCCCATCACCTTTTATTCCCCCGGAGGATTTGATAATGTGTGTGTGTCTGTGTGTGCACAGTTTGCATCAGGTAACATAAGGGAACCCCCTGATTTGTGATCCCTTTAAGAGGAGTTGTTTTGTCTATAAAGATGACTTTTCCTAATCGAAGCTGTACTGAAATTCCTTCCGAAGTAGCTCCCATCGCAGACACAAAACCCTAGTTCCCCAGCCACACTGTGTGTTGCTCCTGGCGAGAGCTGATGGACCCTGCAGTTCCGTGTAACACACCCCTTTGGGGAGCCTCAATGGACCACTCCCCAGAGCCCGGTAGAATGGGGAATGGAGTGCAAACCTTACCTGCTGACGCTTTGTCACATATTTATTTAGTTGTTTTTCTCATACTGGAAATGCCCAGTGTTCGCAACTCGGTGTAACTGATTCTAAGCAAGTGCACGGTGAGATTTTTTTTCTGTTCTTTTAAATGCTCTTGGGTGTTTAGTCCTACATTTATTTGATAGCAGTGTCTGCTACCCATCATTTTCTGTAGCATTTTATTTAAATTGTAAGTGAGGCAAGGGAGGGAGGTGTTGCAAGTAGATATTGGTCCCATTTAGTCTCCGATGATGATCATAAGATCTGTCATCGATTTTCCCCTCTTCCAATCACAGAGGATGGTGGCAGCTGATGGCTGAAGTACAGTCTCCAGGGACTTAAGTACTCCACGGGGGTGTATGCTTAATACACCCTGTTATTTAAAGAATAAATAATGGAAGGCAACCTCTTGGCTCTGCCAAAGGATGATTTCAAAGGAGAAAGTTGCAAAATTACTTTAAGCTTGACAGTACCTTGAGAATTTGTCTCATTTCTTCAGAGGGGACAGTGTTCATTGGAGTGCCCTGATATCTGTTTTTATTTATTTTTATGTTTTCAGTTGCAGCTGACATACAGTATATTAGTCTCAGGTATAGTATACAACATGGTGATTAGACATTTATATACCTTATGAAGTTTTTACCCCAATAAGTCTAAGTGCCCATCTGGTACGATATATAGTTATTACAATATTATTGACTATATTCCCTATGCTGTATTTGACATCCTTGTGATTAATTTTTTAACTGGCAATTTGTACTTCTGTTTTAAATTCACCTGTTTGCATTGACTCTCTTAGACATAGCTCGTTTGCGTATAAATTGGTTCAGACTTTCCAGGGGTCAGTTTGACTTGGCAAGGTCAATTCTGGAAATGAATTCTTATGAAATAATTAAGGATTCTCATGAAGATTGCAGTGCTCATTGTAATAATAAAATGTAGGGAATAAGTGAGATGTCTAATAGTAGGAGACTGGTTATAACTTACCAAACACTATACTATGGGATGCAATATAGCTGTTAAATGACTGACACATTCACCAGTCATTATGTCAAAAAATGCTTTCAGGATGGCATGCTCCTTTTTTTATAGACATTTATATTTTTATGTGCATGCTCATGCATAGGAAAGTATCTGGAAGGATCCACATGAAGGTATAGATAAGGGGCAGGTGGGCTAGGTGTTCTGTGCATTTTGTCTTATCTGTGATCTCTGATGTTTTTAGCATGTATTTTTATTATAAGAAAAAATAACATTTTCACTAAATGCGTCAGTCAAATATATACATACATACATGTATGTGCATATATATATATATACACACACACATACATATATATATATATATATATATATATATATATATGGTTTTGTGTTATTGTCCAACTCAGAGAAAATATAGGAACTATGTAAGCAAATCAGATTTCCTATTTTGTGGATTTACACTTTATTTGCTAATGGGGCTACCAGCCCCATAGAGTGTGATCCTTACAGCTTTGTTAGGGAAGTATTGTAAATGCCACTCATCTATTTGGGATGTGAATTGTGGATCTCCTGTTTTTAGACCCTGCTTTCACTTAACTTTAGCACAGAGGGGCAAAGGGAATGGTTTCTGATACTCTGTGGTCCCCTGGGCTCAGAGACTCTCCCCACCCATCCGTTTTCTTGTATTTGAGAAGAACCACCAGACATGTGGACTTCTCAGTGATATAATAGGTTAGGATGCATGAATAAGTTGATGTCATCCCTTATGTGGGGTAAGAACTTCTCTAAAGCCGTTTTGTAAACGTGAATGGCGTCATCTTTACTATATTCCAGGTTAATTGTTTTTAAAATAATCAGCATTTGTGCACAGCAGGGCTTTTCAAGGTAATTTCAGTTACGTGCCCATTCAAGCTGCAGAAGGAACAGGGCCTAGTGGCTCTTAAAGTAACGATAAGCCAGCTCACATGCGCCTTGGGCAGCCTTCGAATGTGGTGTGATTTCCTGTGTAATAAATGAGAAAAGAGAGGATAAACCTCGAATTATATATATAGGAGAGGCCGGACTTCACACGCTGCTCTCCTGCCTGGAAATACGGAGCATTTTCTCCCTGCCTTGCTGAAACTCTGCGTATGGTCTGTCATCCTGTCCTTGTACATCTAACGTGGGATGCATTTTCCACTTGGGGACTTCACGTGTGGTCGATGGGTTTGGTTGTGGGCAATGGAGCAGTCTGGTGCTGGTGGGAGGGAATGGCCAAGAGGTATGCTGGACAGGCCCGGAGGGAGGCCATCCAGCCCCAACCAGTCTCACCGCCCTGTCCCCTCTGCCCCACAGTGTGCCCGAGTGCGTGCGGAAAGCGGGCGTGCACCGAGAACAACGAGTGCTGCCACCCCGAGTGCCTGGGCAGCTGCAGCGCGCCCGACAACGCCGCCGCCTGCGTGGCCTGCCGCCACTATTACTACGCCGGCGTCTGCGTGCCCACCTGCCCACCCAACACCTACCGCTTCGAGGGCTGGCGCTGCGTGGACCGCGACTTCTGTGCCAACATCCCCAACGCCGAGAGCAGCGACACCGAGGGGTTTGTGATCCACGACGGCGAGTGCATGCAGGAGTGCCCCTCAGGGTTCATCCGCAATGGCAGCCAGAGGTCAGTCTCGTGGCCTGGTGGTCACACAGGGCGCCCCCTCCCTCCACCTTGCAAGGGACAGCAGGTGGGCTCTGTCACTTGTCCTGTCTAGGAGGGACTCTGGGGAGCTTAAGGGCGATGAGTCCACTTGAGAGGGCTGGCATAACTGTAATTGTTTATGAGATTTTAGGAGCAGTTGACACGGTTTTTGTTTTGTTTTCAGTTTTGTTTTGGAAGTGTACTGCCTGACCCTTTGAAATTAAACACCTGACTTTCTGGCTCAGGTATCCGGGGGTCACTGTCTCCCTGAACACATGCCAGGCTGTCATCCAAGCAGGGCAGACGGTAGATTTAGGTTTCTGCACTCCTACACAGCACTAGCCTAGTGAAAGCTTTCGGGCTGCAAGTGGATGACAGGATGAGCCTCACCAGCAGCGAACAGGCCTAAAACCTCTCTACTGCATGAGCTGGCATCCTGTGCCCGAACTCACAGCCCTTAAGAGTAAGCAGTAGCTTAAAAGAACCTCCATTTCCCATCAGCACCCTCTCCTTTTTCTCACACCCTCCACCTTTGTCATCCGTCGGTTTTTCTCTGTGTCCCTCAATTTTCTTCCGAAATTGGGAAGCAAAGAAGTCCCTTGTAGCAACAGGCATCCCTCTTGTGCGTGCCATCTGGACTTCTACAAAATTGCTGTTGGTTTATCTTTTTTTTTTTTTTTTAAAAAAGCGATGCTAGCGTTGTTACAACATACAGCACCCTAGAAGCAAAATAGACTGGCAGTCTGGGGGTTGCTGTTCCCTCCTGTGGAGCAGATCCCAGCAGTCTCTGTTGGACAGAGCAGTTCAGTTGTCACAGGCCAAATGGCTCCTTCATGGTTAACACCAGGGGACCCTTATGTTCCTGGGCTCTTCAGGAGTATTCTACAAATATACAACGCCATTAGGAACGTAAATATTCTGAATATGATGTGTGCATTTACTGCAGTCTGCTGCTGTGTGCTGCTTTCAGCAAGTCTTTGTAAAGAGGGTCCTGTCTTCTGTGGAATATTTGGAGGTGTTGCTCACCCCGTAGGCTTTACTTCCAACCAAAGATAAAATGCACATTAGTTCCTAGTATTGGATGGAGAACAGTTTCCTGCTGCTGTAATTCCTATTACCATTGGAGTAGTAAGATTTATTCTAAATGCTTTTAACATAATACATGTGCCAAGACTCCATGACCTGTAAAGAATACATATTCCACCGCAAAATCAGGCTCCCACATTTGACTGACATTTTATAGGCAGCCTTAGAATGTAAAGGGACTTTCTTAGAGCCCTGGGCAGTGTCAGGAACCCAGACAAGGCTCAGCCACAGGTCCTCCTAGGGGTGGGGACAGAGAAGGGGCGAGTGGCCCAGGAATGGAGGTAATACCATCCTGTGGCTACATTTTCCTATGATGTAGGAGCGAGCTGGGGACACTGTGCATTTCAGTGGTATTGTTTCTCCCCCTGCAGGGCACTTTTCAGAGAACTGAGCCATTATTTTCCCTACTCATTCTTACCTGTTCAAAGCTACAGGTATATAGCTTTTCCATTTTAGAATAAAACTCCATCAAGAAAGAATAAACGTCCCTCTCAGCCTTTAAGGCCTATTTCACACTTAGTTTGAAATATTTATTTTTAAAAAATACTGTTTATATCTTCTTTGTACCAGAACGGATGTGAGGAAGGCTAATCTATAAACATATAATCAGAGCTCTTCCTTAGAAAAACATTTTTAAAGTGATAGATGATTCCTAGACATTTTTTCTTCCAAAAACATTTATTATTTATCTTATTTTATCTTTAAATTTAAAAAAAAATTTCAATTACAATTGATAGACAATATCCTAGATATTTTAGCAAAAGTGTTTGGTTCAGAAATTGCTATTTGAATGAAATAATGCAGGGAAGTGGGGACTAACATACAGTTACCATATAACCTAGAAGTTACACTTCTGGACATTTATCCCAGAGAAATGAAAACATGTGCACATGAAAACACATACACAGTTGTTCCTGGTGGCTTTATTTGTAATGGCCCCAAACTGAAAACCGTTCAGATGTCCCACTGTAGGTAAATGGCTAAGCAAATTGTGGTACATCCATACCAGGAAATATTACTCAGCAATAAAAAGGAACAGACTATGGAAATATACAACAACTTGGATGGAGCTCCAGGACATTACACTCAAGGACATCGAGCTGACATCAGAAGGTCACGTACTGTGTAATTCCGTGTATGTGACATTTCTCCAGATGACACAATTACAGAGATGGAGAACAAAGTGGTGGTTACCAGGAAGGAGTGAGGGATATGGGGGCAGGTAGCTATATGGGTGATCTGTACAGACTCGTTAAGTAATTTGACTTCTGTGGAAGCTGATAACACAAGTGATAAGGCAACATAGAATGACACACATACATTGTACCAGTGTCCACTTCCTGGTTTTGATTTTGTATCATCCTTATATAAGATGTAACCATTGAGGGGAAACTTGGTGAAGGGTGTGTGGGACCCTTCTGTACTCTTTGCTACTTTCTGGGAATCTATAATTGTTTCAAAACAAAAAGTTCTTAAAACGGAGGGTTGGGGCAGTATACAGGATGTAGGTAAGTTAGAAGAAATAAAAGACCAATGGAAAGTGCTGAAGGGAGGTCACTACCCACGCCAGACATGAGAACATCCGGTATGATACTGGAGGAAGGACAAATCTCCTTTCCTATGGTTGGTCCAGTTCCTTTGAAAATCTTGCCTCCCGTTCTCCCGACATGAATTAGGAGAGTACCAGGGAAGTTTTGTTCACCTATACAAAGCACAACCCTGCATCTTTGCCTTTGGATATGCAGTAAAGTTCCGAGGCAGGGGGCAGACATTAATGAAAAACCTGTAACTTACATTTTTTAAAATGTTTTTTTCCCTTAACTTCATGAAGTTTTAAAAATCATTCAAGAACAATATTGTAAATAGAATGGTTCCCCAACTCACCATCCTATTATTTACACACCTCTATAATGTTGTGTCATTTATTTTGTTTGGAAATCAACCCCAGTTTTGATCGATGCTCTGTGGTTCAGCAGCTGGGTTAACGTTTCGCTCACTATTCCCTAAATAACGGTAGGTAAGCAGGGAAAGTGCCAGCCTCACTCCCTTGTCCCTGACGCTCGGTGGTTAGTGGCAGGTTCAGGAGAGCATTTGAAATTGGAGCTCGTTACAAAGTAATGGAATGTCCCTGCTTTTATTGTGCATGCAGCGAAAACAGCATTTGGATCAATTTAGAGTTTCTGCGCAACATGGTCAAGAAATAATGTCAGTTACGCTTTAGCAAGAAAATAACGGATCTGTGCTGTACCACATGCCTTTCGGAGTCCCTCACGGAGCTTTGCTAGGTTGCTGGCTCTGGACGTGAGACTTGTGTTCTCGGCAGAGACACTGCTGTCCGTTTGCTGCCCCCGTCTTTCCAGCCTCCCAGCAGCGTCTCCAGGGTGTGCAGGCAGGAGCCACGACAGCAGGGAGCAGGCTTGTTCTCCTCCATCACCACCGTCGCTTTCTCTCTGCGAGGCTGTTTCTCCCACATGGGACCAGCTGGCTCACCAGTCGACAGCCTATGATACACACATGCTTCTAGGATACAGCACGTAGTTTGTCTGCAAACAAGCTGCACGCTTTTCCTTCGTAGGCACTGTCTCCTTTGGTTTGCGATCTGAGTGTCTGGTCTTGTGTGGGCGTGGGGACACATTATGGTGTGACCCCTCGAATGCTTCCATGGTTTTTATAATGTGTACTGTAAAAACACCTAGCATCCAACTATATCCTTCTGATGTTTCTTCAGTGCAAGGAGACACCTTGACCTCTGTTTGTGGTTGGTTCTTTATTTTCCACAGCATGTATTGCATCCCTTGTGAAGGTCCTTGTCCCAAAGTCTGTGAGGAAGAAAAGAAAACGAAGACCATTGATTCAGTCACGTCTGCGCAGATGCTCCAAGGATGCACCATCTTCAAGGGCAATTTGCTCATTAACATCCGACGAGGCAGTAAGTATTCCACCGCCTAGAAGAGATGGCTGGTTTTCTTTTGCGGATGCTTTTCCTACTCATCCATGACTCACAATTCAAATATGGGCCTAGGAAAACAACATGGTGTGTCAGCCTTGTGCTTGACCCCTCTCCTTGGAGTCTCCCTCCAAGATAAACAAAAAAAAGAGATTGAAAGGCAGGCTGTGTGTTAGCCATGGGCACAGCGCTTCTTCCTGCACAGGGGCAGCCCTCATCTTTCGGTGAGTTGTCTCTTACTCAGGAGAGGCAGGTCCCAACACACCCAGACCCCAGAAGAGATGGTGGATCAGAGGTATGACTCAGCAGTCTGCAGAGCGAGCCAAATCCACACGGCTTTCAGTCCAGAGCTTTGGTTACTTGGATCTGGGTAAAGGGAATAGTTCATGATATCACTGTAAAATTTTATGAAGTCCAAAAGAGTGGTTGATCTCTGAATTTACTTCTGAGAGCCAAAAAGACTAAGTGTGTGTCATCATGTATTTGAAGTTTCAGTCTCGCCCCCCGTGGGATGACCATCATTTGCGACAGACGGCATTCCTGGTGATGGCATTTGTGCAGAGCAGTTCCCATTGACTTGTTCTGTGATATTCTTGCTTCTGGTCTTTAATTGACATGGGCGTCTGGTACTGGTGCCTTAAGTTCTCCACCCCAGGACCACTGGGTCGAGGTACTGATGGTTTCACAAGCTAGAATAAGTATACTAAGAAGACCTTGAGGTTGAAGGGAATTTTGTTTTGTTTTGTTTTCTAAATCCTTTTGTGAAGAAATTCTTTCTACAGTTGGAGGGGGGGGGGAATGACTAATTTGTTTATTCTGTGAATTTACTTTTCCTTAATACTATTGGTTGAAGGAGTTATGGTACAGAGATGGCGGGGACACATTTTTGCTTAGTTCTTTTGAATGTGTTGACATCCCTTGCTTTTCCCATTTTCCAGCCCTTGACAACAGAGATAGCTTTGTTCCCACACAGCTGGAATTTTCTTACCCTCATGGTACTTCTCAAGTTTGATTCTTTTTACTCTTACTAGATCTCTTAATTTTAAAAAAGATTCCCTTATCCTTAGAACACCCCCCTTTAAGTGCCTAAACCTGCTTTTTAAAAATATTCCTGCCCCGAAGATAAAAATGGAATCTGTGAACTAAATCCATGGAGAAGTATAATTTGAGAAGGGATTGGTATATATTTGTGTCTGATGATGAAATGTGTTGTCCAGTGTTTGTCCAAAGCAGGAAATCAGTCGGACTTAGAGTGAGGGGATATCTCATTCGAAAGGTTGGACTATAACCCCAGCTTTGACTAAAAGGCATGTAGCCTGCCCACATGTAAAATCTGGGATCTTTTCTATGAATTATCAACTTCAGACAACCTCTAGACTTTACAACTTGAGCTTCTCCTTAATTTCTCTTATAAAGACATTAAATTGTACATTAAATGTAGAGCCTTGGCCTCCAGGACAGCATCCTTACTTAATTTTTATCCATTCAAAAGCACAATAGGACCTTTGATTAAATAAGTCTTCACAAATCATACTCAGTAAACATACCATTAGTCAAACCATACCCGGTTCATTATAGTTTTATTATAATTTGGATGTAAATTGAACTCAAGTTTGTTTACTGTTTACTGTGAGAAAAAGATAGGCCAAACGAGATGAAAGGAAACACACTGTTTACATATATAATGTCGCTTTTACATATGTATTAGCAACTATTTTCCCAACTATGTTCTAGCTATGAAAATAACACTTGGAAAGCTTAGAAATGCAGGAAGGGATTTTTAAAAATCACCTGCCAATAGCCCTCCTCGACGGAATGATGTATTTTCTCCCAGTCTTAGGAAGAGGGAATCTTTCAGTATAGACAGATGCCTGGATCTGAGGACCCAGAACTGGCTCAAAGGCAGCTCCTAAGGAGACTGAGAAAATGCTGTCTGTTTAGTCCTGCCGTTGTAATGCGGACGCAGCGCTCCCTGTTGACAGAGCACATTAAAAGGCATTCCCCAGACTTGGCCTTCGCTCATTGGCTGTCTGGTATTTATGATTTTACACTCTGTTAATCAGCCTGGGAGCTACAGGACCCAGCCTCGTAGAAGCCAGCCTTCCCCTGTCCCAGGAGAGGTTGTTGGAAGTCAAGCCTAGGGACACAGTTTTGGACAAGGGGCCTGGGTCTTATCCCAGCAGCCTGAGCGTCTCCGTGTCCCCACCAAAACAAGACGCACCAGGACATGGCACTCCACATTTGTTAGTGAGAAACCTTAAGTGTCGGTCTCTCTTACGCTAAGCAAACACTCAGTGAGTAACCAGCTCCTCTCTTTATGTAGATAACATTGCTTCGGAACTGGAGAATTTCATGGGGCTCATCGAGGTGGTGACGGGCTATGTGAAGATACGCCATTCCCATGCCTTGGTTTCCTTGTCCTTCCTCAAAAACCTCCGCCAAATCTTAGGAGAGGAGCAGCTCGAGGGGTAAGTGCCCTGAATGTCATGAACTGACAGTCTAGTACACAGACAGCAGCGTGCTGTTAAAATTCGGCGTTACTGAGGTAAGAGCCCTTTCTTGTTGAAAAGAAGAAAGGAAGGAACAACAGAAATGCCTGTGCTACCTGAGTGACCCACCTGCCGGCGTGGCATTGTGCGTAGCCATGATTCTCCATCCTTGGGATGCTGCTGTTTTGGAGAACTGTTTTGACCCGTCGGTCCAGGGCTGTGTGTCCAACTGTGGCCGGAGGAACAGCAGACAGGGATGCCGTTGGGGGCGCTTTCTGCCAAGAGCCATAGGAATGGGTCTGAAGGGCTTGACTCTGTGAAATCATCATTTCCACAACACTTTGTCTGCCTCAGGGCGCTGTCCTCTACTCCATAGAAGCACATGCCATCTTTAAAAATATATTGGAGCATAGGAGATTTGGACAAGTGTGGACAATTCGTTGTTTTCACAAAATCTTGATTCACAACCCCCCTCACCCCCCCCCACCCCCGCTTTTATTGATTAACTTATAAGGGTTTAGGCCACTGATGGGATTTTTGCCTCCTGCAGACAGTCATGTGCTTTGTGAGAGGGGTTTTAAAATAGCCAGAGGCTTTTCACTGCAGTATAAACGAGAGCTGATGGCTTACTGCGTCCACACTCTCTTTCCAGCCTTTGGGTGGTGTGTACCTTTGCATGTAGACTTTCCTCATCACCCTCCCCCTTTTGAATACAGCTCCTGCCAGGCTTTAAGCTCAGACTTTGAAATTAAAGGCGACATCCATTAATGAGTGAATTTCTTCTAAAGAGAGTTTGGGGAAATAATTTGGGAAAGAAAGAGGTGGGAAGGTCATGGGAAAGGCCGTCCTCGCTGATGGGTCTGCCCTAACGGGATACAGTTACCGCAGAAGGGTTTCTTTACAGCCTCCCTGCTTTTCTCAGACTATAACTGTTGGTCAGTCTGAAATTCTTAAAATTCCATCATCTGATACAGCTCAAGAGAGCAGGCAGCTCTTCATTCCATCCTTGAAAAAAGCAAATGGTCCTCCCCACTGGGAACACGGATCCTCTAGAAAACACGTCTTTCTCCTTTGCAAATCCAAGGAGGCTGCCACTGTGCCCAGGCCTGGAGTGGCCCAGGTCACTGAGACGGCAAGCTGGGGCTCTGCCTTTTGGTGCTTGTTTTGTTTGTTGTATCCAATTTTAAAGTGAATTTTAGCACAGCTTTTTTTTTTTTTTCCTGGAATCCCTGGTGTCGGGGAGCACTTTTTCTTTGGCAGATTGGTATCTGCAAGATCTCCTGCTGCTTAAGGACACACATTTTTTTCCCAGGCTGAGCACATGGTAGAGATAGATGGGAAAGCCAAAAGGAGAGTTGCATTCGTTTTTTATTCAGAATTATTACATGACGTGATTCCCTTTTAGTTGTGTGTTAACTGAAAGTATTGTAGTATGCACTTAATTAAATGTAGTGGAAAACCAAAGCCTGGTTTTTATTTGCAAGAATATCTCTGTATGCCTCATGATCTGAAACCTGTATAAAACTTGAAGCCCAGTGGGGTTCTTTTAAGGATGCATGCCATTGCTCAGGTGTGTGGGACACTTCCGGGCTCAGGTAAGCTCTGGACCCCTGCCCTGCTATTAGCATTAGTGATGACTAGGGAGAGCAGATGGGCGTCAGGCTTTCCCAACCTGCAGCTGATCAATAGGTCTTGTAGCCTGAGGATGCTGGGCTTCCAGCTTTTTATTCCTGTGTGTTGCTTGTTGGAGGGTCTCTCTTTACTGAGGGTGTTTGAGAATCATGCCTCTCCTGATGGGAGTTGGGTTTCATACTCATAACCAAACTTAGGGATCGTCCCCCACAGCTATATTTGTATGAGGCCTGGGCAGTAGCAACAACTCAATCCTTTTCAGACTTGGGAACAGGTTTAGGTCCAGCCCCTTTACCTGCTCCCCTCACCACTCCCTCAAGAAGGGAAGAGTCAGAAAGGGGAAAAGTAGAAGGGACTATGATAACTAGAGTACAGAACAGAGCTTGCCAGATGCTATGAGGGTAAGAAAAGGTACGTGCCAAGGGCAGGAAAACAGTCAGCTATCTGATTGAGAAGATCAGACATGCCTCCTAGAAGATACGGCATTTGAGATGGGCCTCGGAGGGTTTCCGGAAACACTCAGAAAACAGAAAGTGAAGAAAGGCAGTTCAGGATAGGGCCGCAGGAGCAAAAGCAGGCAACAAGCTGGGGCCTCCTGGGGCCTGTTTGCCGTAACGCTGGGGAGGCAGGTGGTGTCAGGATTACGTAAAGTGTTATACGCCCAGGTGTGGAGATTGTACTTTAGGAAGGCAGTGGAACAGAGTCAAGGCTTTTGAGGTAGAGGAGTGTTAAACAGAGCTGTCTGGAAATGTCATTTCTGGGCATTTCATTCCTGTGTGCTTTTGCTTTTAGCCAAGGTAACTTTTATCTCAGTGGCTCTCACAGTTTGCTATCCATTAGCATCATCTGTTGATGGTATCAGGCTTTCTAAAAACCCTGATACCCAGGTTGCACTCTATCCCAATTCAATCAAAATGTTTGGGGTGGAATCCAGGCATCAGTGTTCAAGACATTTCAATGTGCAGCAAATATTGGAAACCACGGCTGTGTCTTGTTACTTCTTGTTCTCATGTGCATATCCCCACCGCACTTGAACTTTTTTTTTTTTTTGTAATAAATCTGTACAAGAATTCTATAAAATGGCTAATTTGTAAGCCCTTGAAAAGGTAGAGAATGCTACTGTCATCTGGACAATTCCTTTGTCTGGACAACCCCGTTTTCTGATGGCATCTGATATTGTTGTTGATGTTGTTGTCACCAAGGATTGTTGACCTGGAAAGAATAAAAGTAGATAGAGGTCGTGGGTAATAAGAATGGAAATTCTTGGATGCATTGAGGCATCTCCACCCTCATGTCCCCACCCACCACTTGACTTTGCAACACTTGGTGCTTCATCCTACCTTTTTGCAACTTTAAGATTAAGTTACAACAGGGCTGCATGTCTCTGGAACTTTTACAAAATACACAGTCAACCATGTAACGCAGTAGTTCTAGGCTCTACCTGGTAGCTACCCACAAGAAATGAAAACATGCCCACACAAGACTTGTATGGGAATGTTCACAGTGGTATTATTCATTTTACTCCCTCTCACCCCCACCTCCTAAAAATCCCACTGGAAATCATCCAAATGCCCATCAACAGATGAATGGATAAATAGAGTGTGGCACCGTATACTACTGCTCAATAATAATAATGTAACAACATGCAGGAAGCTCAGAAACATTAGGCTGAGTGAAAAATAGCTAGGCACAAAAGGCTGCGCATTGTAAGATTCCATTAATATGGAGTTTCTAGAAGAGGCAAAAATCTGGAGACAGAAAGCAGATCAGTGACGGCTGGGGGGCAGGAGCGGAGACCGACCACCACGGGCAATGAGGGAACTTTGGCGTTTTGGAGATGTTCTAGAACTATACATCGTGGTGATGATCGGACAGCTGTGCCAATTTACTGAAGTTCATGAAACTTATAATGGGTAATTGGGGGCAGGTAAATTATACCTCAGTAAAGCTATTTAAAAAACACTTAAAGAGGAAATATTTTCTGAGTCTGTTTGGTGCTGAGTGCCATTGGAATGTAAATCCTTGCCCTTGCTGAACCCCCAGGCTGGTGTGAATGTTGGGGTTCGGGCAACTTGGACGTGGTGTAAAGAAGCCTGTTGCAGATAGGTTGGAGGCAGCATCTGTGAAAAGGCCAAGCACTGTATCCTTTGCAGATTGCTCAGGTCTGCAGACAGCCCCCATGTGCTGGGCTCTGATGCCCCCTAGAGACAGCTGCAAAGAGGCGGTGGTTTCTTCTAGGAGAAATGAAAGAGAATGATCAGTTGTTTATTGCAGACTTTTTTTTCCATTTGTCAGCAAGGGCTGAAAGTGGGGGAGGGTCCCCCCTCCCTCCGTAGGGGAGGCCCCACCTTCTGTCCGGGTCTGGGAGAAGCCAAATGGATATGTTGCCTGACGGTGTTGCTTGGCAAGTGACAGAGTGTTGCTCAGCCCCTCGTCGTTGGATTCGCACATGCAGTTCTCTGGCCCCTGGGCTGTCTTCTAAGTACCGGGCAAACCCCCTTTGCCTTCCGTTGCTCCCCCATCCTTCCTGCCCTTTGTGGGAGCAGGTGGGGAAGTGGGGTGTGTTGATAACTCAGAGGTCAGAGGGGCCCAAGATGGGAGCCACAGATAAAACAGCTGAGCATGCGAGGCATTTAGAATATCAAGGTGATATACCGGTATCCTCCAGCAGATAACTAGCCCCTCCCAGCCTGCCTCCCTTGGTCTATGTTTTGGCAGGCAGGGTCGACCCAAGTTCAGAAACATGTTCTGCGAGATTTCCAAGGCCAGGAGCCAAGATACAGTGCAGCAGGTCCTGGGTCAACAGGGCGTTTCATTCAACGTCATTTCATCACAAAGGTGATGAGATGGGGTTGGGAACTTAACTCTCATTTATATAAATTAGCCTGCAGAAAAATGGGACTTTTACTTAAAGTCACAGAATCTATGAGCAACATTACACGAGGACCTTCTGTATCTATAAAACCCAGGCCTCATGGAGCCTGTGTAAGCTCCATAAACAAACAAATAATTTTTAAAAATAGTCTTTGCATGTAAAGGCAGTAAGCTTAGAAACAATTAGGAAATCCCATTTACTGAGTAATTGCCTTAATAGCCATTTCCTCGAGGAAACAATTAAAATCTAAGTGTGTGTGTCTTCAAGATGTGCAGAGGAGCTTCGGCCTTTTACCATCTCTTAATGCTCATCTAATCATGGGAGGGATTTAGCGGAGCCAGGCCTCCAGCTGGGGTTCAAAAACAAGAGCAGTCTCGACAGGCAGCTCCAGAAAGGTTTGATTATTATTTTGACAAGGGTTTTATTTTTATTTTTCTGTTGCTTACACATACGCCATAATGTCAGCGTTTTATTGATATTGGTATCCTGGCTCCCGGCCTTCTCAATGTTGTAAAAAAATGTTTGTATTTACTGTAAAAAGATAATCTTGCTTTTCAAAGTGATTAATCACATACACAGAATTTCTGTGTGCCTGCCACTCATTTGTCAGATTCCTGATTTATGAGTCACGCTTCCTCCCGTGGGGCAAAGCATGTTTTGTTCAGAAGGCGTTTTCTCTGTAGTTCCGTTCCCTGCCAGTGAAGTTCGTTTCCTAAAAAGAAGCCTTGTCCTGGGTTGAGACAGCAGTTTGACCTGGCTAATTGGCGCTCACTCTCAGCCCAGTGGTTTCTGTGCCAACAGGAGATTTTGTCCCGTGTGGCCAACTCAGGAGCCGGGGAGCAGCCAGACCCTTTGGGGTTGGCACTGCAGAGCGTCCTTTCAGAGCTTCAAATATCGCACGGGTGAGAGAGGGCTTCACGTAGGAGGCATCTGTTTTCACCTGCGAACCCTTCCTTCAGTTGTATGATTGCATGAATCCCCCTGCCCTCCAGCCTTGTCACCTGCAGCCTGGCAGTGAGGGAGAGGGACTGTCCGAAGGGACGGCAGGTGTCACTTTGCCGTGTCCCAGTGCATCCCACCTGTACACCTGTACATCTTGCATCTAGGTTGATTTGGACGCTCTCTTACGTTTGTTTTCCAGCAAATATATGTGTTCGGGAGTGAGCTCTTACTGAAAGAAAGGACGGGGCTGTCGACTTGAGAGTTTTTGCCACCTGGTTGGTGGCCATGAATATGTCAGGCAAGAGGCCTTGAGGTGGGTTTATGAGGAGCCTGGCATGGTTTAAGAGGCGCCACCTTCGGCCTCACTTGGCCCACAGCGCCCCTGTGTGGGCAGGACTCTCACCCGCATCTCCCAGCACGTGTGAACGGGTCCCAGTGCTCACCCTGGGATGGGCTGGCTCCAGGCTGGAGGGGCGGATGCCACCTCAGCTCTATGACTTCTCCTGGGCCTTAGGGTCGTGGGTTCTTCAAGCCAGCAGGGAGCTCAGATGACACCTGTTCATACACCTTGTTGTCCGATGACTGAGTAAACAGGGCTACAGAGAGCACTAAGTGACCTGCCTATGGCCATCATGCAGCCCGTTAGTGACATTCTGGCCCTGGGTCTCTATCTCTGAACTCCCTCGTGAATTCCCAGGGAAATGTCACGTGTCTGCTGGACAATGTTGTAACCCTAACTTTGGCTTTGCCCTAAATGAACGAGACTCAGACTGAGGACTGACCAGGTGGATAGAGGTCCTGTGAATGGGAACTGCACCTGGTACAGAGAGGTGCCCATGGAAACAGCCCCCAGGGCAGAGCAGGGCTGGGGGCTCTGGCCAGGCTTTGCAAAGAGGGCCGGATCCTTCCTTCTCTGCTGTTTGGGTGTTGGATCTGGGAGCAGATATTAGAAATAGCTCCAAGTTTGCAGATTCCTAGACTCGGTTTTGTATGAAGTGTGTGACTGAGCCCAGAAAGAAACTGAGGCTGGGGAGGAGCAGGGAGAAAGGGGGGGGAGTCGGGGTCCCTGGGAGCATACCCTTCAGCACGGGCTCAGGCAGCCATGGCCCTGGCTTCCTGAGGGACCCCGAGAGAGAGGCATACCCCAGAGATCGCTCTCCAGGTCCCCAGGCTGTAGCCGTCTGCTCTGTCCCCTCCCTGGGCATGGCTTTCTTCTGAGGTGTCTGTATTCAGTGCTGGCTGTCCACGCGTCTGCCCTCCGTGGACAGCTGGGTCTGCCGCTTCTGTGTCCACCCGCTGGGGACAAGGACCCGCGTCTGACTTGGTCGGCTTTGGACCTCCAGCCTTTGCTAGTGCCCAGCATCTGTTAGACCCGCACTTCCCCAATTGTGGTCCCAGGACCAAAAGCGTCGTCATCGCCTGGGTGCTGGCGAGATGTGCAGGTTCTCTGCCCACCCCTGCCTGCTGATCAGAATCTCGGGGGGTGGGGCTCAGAGCTCTGAAAATAATCTTTGTGCTCATTGCACTGTTTGACACTGAGTCTGCAGTTGTGTAGACAGGTGGCCCAGGGGTAGTGCCCCTTGGGGGCTATTTCTCCGTCCCCATCTTCTCCTGGGACTGCAGCTGAGGCTTTTGAAGGTGGGGCGAACCTGGACGAGGGAGCAGGCCCAGGGCTGGCCCAGCATCGCATGTGTCTCCCTGTCCAGTTCTCTCTCCGACCCCATCGACCCCCATCGTAAGCTGCTGCCGGTGGGGATGGGATTTACCCCAAGGATAATGGCAGACTTGCTACAGCAGATATGTAAGCCGTTCCAGTTGAGTAGCAGAGCGTGTCTGTTCTCCTGTGGACTGGTTTCCAGCACATCAAACACACTCTCTGCTGAGAGAAATAACCAAAGACATTTCTGGGGAATGATTCGAGTGACATCCTCCGGTGTGAGAAGCATTCTTTGTTGGTAACAGCGGTCATAAAATTAGTGTCTTGTCGATGTCAATATGCCGTCATTGAATCCCGCGATGGCCATTGTTAATGGTGACCGTCTCTTCTTACATGCCGTTGGTAGCTAAGTCCCGTCCTTATCGGCAGAGGCAGTGGGTTCCCGAGCCACGTGGCAAAGAGGACCCGTGTGGGTGGCCGGCAGGCTGAGCTGGGCCCTGGGTGGAAACGGGATGGGATGCTAACTGTGGGTGTCTGTGCTTCTAGAAATTACTCCTTCTACGTCCTCGACAACCAGAACTTGCAGCAGCTGTGGGACTGGGACCACCGCAACCTGACCATCAAAGCCGGGAAAATGTACTTTGCTTTCAACCCCAAACTGTGTGTCTCTGAAATTTACCGCATGGAGGAAGTGACGGGGACCAAAGGGCGCCAGAGCAAAGGGGACATAAACACCAGGAACAATGGAGAGAGAGCCTCCTGTGAGTGGGCTGTGGGCCCCGGGGTCGTGAGGAAGGGGCTGGCCCCTCTTCCCATCTGGCGCTTCCATGGGCGGCCCCCTCCTTGTGTCCCCCGGTGGGGGTGGGGGGGTGAGGCCTCCTTAACTGGCACATTGTTTGTCCATGTGTATCTTGAGAGTCAATAGTGGGGGCAGATTCATCACCAATTTACGTTCGTAAGTTCCCTTAGCATCTGTACGGGTGCGCTAAGCATTTATCAGTAGGCTCTTACTCAGATTTGAAAGACGTGCTTACAGAATACAAACTTCAATGTCTTTTCATGCATAGGCACACGGCTAGATTGTTTTTCAGGCAAGAGCTGGTCCTCTCCAGCCCTGGTGGGCAGTGAACCTGGCCCTCAGTCACACACAGAATGTCGGGGTGGCCTAAGGGTGGGGGAGGGGGGTTCAGCTACGGGGGTCCTGTGTCCCTGACTCGGCCTTCTCCGTGCTGCCATCCCAGCATGAAAAAGATGGTGAGAGCCTGCCTCCCTGAGTTGATCCTGCTTTTTAAGTTTAGGGCACTATGATTCTAACTTTGCACTGTTTATGCCATTTTTATTTTCAGGGCTTGTATCTGAGATATAGCAGTGCATTTCTCTTCTGACCCTGTATATTACACTGCTTTTATAAATGTTGTGCTTTGTTTGGCTGGATAGCATTATAAAAATAAACTGTCTCTCCACCATCAGCCTTCAATATGGGAAAGGTGTTAGAAAAAAAAAGCAAAAAGGAATTTATGTGCACAAGGGTGATTTGCACACCCACGTGTGCACACATAGTCAGGACCCTGAGTGACACGGTCAGCATTTAACTTGGACTTGTTTCGCTGGTGCCTGGACTTACCTAGTAGACACTCAGCTTGCCCTGGAATAGTTTTTAGAGCAAAGAAACCCAACGCAGAGCTGGAGAGCACGTCTACAGTCAGTGCCTTCTCACTTGTACTCCCCAGCACGGCCCCTGCCTCACTCCCTGTGTCACAGTGTTTTCAGGGCTTTTCTCCTTGCACTCGGCCAGTCTGACCTGTCAGATCATGAATGTAATAGCCGTTTATTTTCCTTTGAAAACAACATCATGTATTCTCTCTAAATAACACTTTAGCAGGAACTGCAATGTTTTTCCGACCTCAGTCCCGCAGGCTTTGTCCCACAGACTTGTTAGCTTTCCGCTGCCTTTAGCGTCTCTGCCTCACCTGCTGAGCACGTAGGGGGACTCAGGCAGAGGCAGGGAAAGGGCGATGGGTAGGGGAGCTCTGGGTCTCCATGAGGGCGGCAGCCCTCTGTCCATCCCAGGTTCTCATCACAGTGTGAATCTGGTCTGAAGACTGAGGAAGGCTTACTTCCCCCAGAGCCCAGAAGGCTCTGCCAAGTGAAATTGGTCTGGTCTGTGCTTAATCCATTCCCTATGGCAGTGCCATCTGGAGGCCTCCAAGCAGTTGCTATGCCCTTTCGTTGTGACACCAAGTGCAGACACAGAGAAGTTGCCCTCGGTGGCACACCTGGTCTGTTACCCGTCTTTGGTGGCCGCACAAGAGCAGGCAGATACCCACACATCATCTCTCAGAAGAGTCAGCACAGCTTAAAGGTCTACCCTCCCCTTCTCTGGTCCCCTGGGGAGCCCATGGCTTAGGGATCAGCAGAAAGATAAGGCCACCTTGTCTTCCAGGGGAGGAATCACTCCCGGGTCCACGTCCCGTGCACCAAATGTGCTGAGGGACGAGCCCTGCAGAGCTCAACATTGTGAAATGTTTGGGTCCTTAGGAGAAGTGAGAAAGCCGTCGAGAAGTCCAGAAAGGGACCCAGTTAGCATGGACAGCCAGCTTTGGAGAAGAGGGAAGTAGTGCAGGACAGGTGACTTCTCAGACACAGGGCGGGAAAGGACGTTGAGGTCTGTCACTCACACATGTGCCTCTCTGCCCCAGGTGAAAGTGATGTCCTGCACTTCACCTCCACCAACACGTGGAAGAACCGCATTATCATCACGTGGCACCGGTACCGGCCCCCGGACTATAGGGACCTCATCAGTTTCACCGTCTACTACAAGGAAGCGTGAGTTGGGCTTGGCGACGGCGTTGTGTGGGCAGGGCTGGGAGTGGGCACACCTTGCTTCATCAGCAGCACCCACTGTCACATGACAGCCGTCACTGCTGGTGACAGTTACAAATGGGAAAGCGTTAGCTTCAGTGGGTAGAGGCGTTTGAATAAAATAAATTCAAAAGGCAAAGCTTGGTTTTTAGAGAGTTTTTTAGAGAATTAGGGCAGTTTATAAACATTCATAAGCTGGGATAGAGGACATGGTTGAAAGATATGAACCTTGATGCCTGCTAACCCAACTCCAGGAACACCCCACAGGATGCTCGGCTCCCCCCGAGGTGACCCCCAGGCAGGTCCATCATCTCATTCCTGCCCCTCTGTCCATGGGCCCCTCCCAAGTTCATGAGTTCTCCAAACGAGGGAGAAGGCAGAAGGAAAGGTCTTGGACCTCTCATGTCTGTGACCTTGCATGATTTCTCCCTGAATTTTCTCGGTTCCTCTTGTGCCTTCAGATGACGTTGGCCTGCCCTGACTTACATGTCCAGAAGGCAGCTCTCGGTCGCCCTCTTCCTTCCTTTACCTCCTCTATCCAGGTGGTTTCTCAGTCTGCTCAGTCCTCCTCCCTACCCAGCTCCCATCTTGATGCCGCAGGTCTCTTTTCTGGGTGCTGGGCTCCCCCAGAGCTGGAACCAGAGCCCCCAATGACAGTCTGTGGTACACTTTACCCTGCTGGAGCCCGGGCCCAGGAAAGGGTCCTAGCAATGAAAAGGGCAGGGCCCAGGACGATAAGGTTTTCCTGTACATGGGGTCCCTCACAGTCTAACATTGCAATGACGGGAGGGGTATATTAATGTCTGCTTTAGAAGCCGGTGGCCAGCGGCTGTCCTGCCCTTTCATCTGGTAGATGTCAGGTTTCGACCCAGCATCTGTGCAAACGCTCCCGTCCCTTTGATAGTCCTACTAGTGCTGTGGCAACGTCTGCTGGTCATTTGCCCCAAGAATTGATGCGAGTTTCTGAGACAACCTGGATGCAAAATATTTGAATAAGATACTTAAGTGGTCAGAATTGCTTGTCAGCCAATCAGATTTTGGAAGCTGCATTTTTAGAAACTTTTTCTGTGGCAAAGTCATTTTTTTCCATAAGTTATTCTTTATCGATAGTTGTTTACATGAAATGACGGTGCTTGTTCTTTTCCTCATGGTGAAAAAGATGCCCCATTCAAAAAGAGAAAAATGGCATTTGCGTCTATTCTTCAGCAGTATTTTCAGTCCCAGTAATTATAGAACTTACTCTACCTGAGGCAGAATATTTGATTCTGTAGTGCAGATGCTACTGTGGTGATACCCAGAGTCCAGTAGCTTAATTTTATTCTTCCATAAAATTCTAATTGATTATCTGTTTTGTACAGAATCCCCATTATAGAAAGAGTGACGTGCCAGGCCCCCGGGGCAGGATTCCTGAGAGTGTCGATGGCAGAGCCCTCACCCTACATGCTCTGTGCTTTCTCACTTGTCTTTCAGACCCTTTAAAAATGTAACAGAGTATGACGGGCAGGACGCCTGTGGCTCTAACAGCTGGAACATGGTGGATGTGGACCTCCCATCCAACAAGGATATCGAGCCTGGCATCTTACTGCATGGCCTGAAGCCCTGGACCCAGTACGCTGTGTACGTCAAGGCTGTGACCCTCACCATGGTGGAGAACGACCATATCCGTGGGGCCAAGAGTGAAATCTTGTACATTCGCACCAATGCTTCAGGTATCCATGCACTGGTTTTTAGAGTCATCTTGGTCGTTCCACTGAAGCATAATTATGGAATTGTAGACTTCTGGGCCCTTCTTCCTGCCCTGTCCTTTCCTCTAAGCTTGCTCTCTCTCTCTCTCTCTCTCTCTCTTTCTCTCTTTCCCTCTCTCCTTCCCTTCCTCCCTCCCTCCCTCCCTTCTCCTTTTTTATTTCCCCCTTTCATTTTGGCTTCTTGCCATTTGTATCAGAAATTCAGAATCCCAGATGAAAGTCCATCAGTTTACCACTTGCTGGACTTCAAGGATTTGGAGGCCGGCAGTTGTCATACATGAGAGAATCCCAGTGTTTGAATTAGCTGTTGGTTTTGTCATCTATTCTCACCCTGGTGTGCCCCCACAATCTCTTCCCATTTGCAGCTCAGCAATGTTTGTGTTTGCAGAGACTACCTGAGAATGGATATTGTGAAGGGAAATGATGGCGTTGAAATGAATACTGTTTCAAAACAAGGCCTGGCTTTTCATTGGGCTTTTCTGTATTCACCGCTGTCTTCTCCTCCTGGCCGAACTTTCTGTTTCTGCTTTGTCTGCACTGAGTGTCTGACAGCCTGGATCTTGGGGTTCACTCCATTCTCTGAAATGTCCTTTGTTCCCCTTTCCAGTTCCTTCCATTCCCCTGGATGTCCTTTCAGCCTCCAACTCCTCCTCTCAGCTCATCGTAAAGTGGAACCCGCCCTCTCTGCCCAATGGCAACCTGAGTTACTACATCGTGAGGTGGCAGCGACAGCCTCAGGACAGCTACCTCTACCGGCACAATTACTGCTCCAAAGGTAAGGCTGCAGGGTGGGCAGTCCTGGAAATGTGAGCTCCCGTCCTCTGAGCCTGTCATTCCCCCACGTTACCTGTATCAGGTTAACAGCTCACGCCCTTCACTGGAAACCAGCCCCATTCTTTAGGCGAGGTCCTCACAGCTCTTGGTCCTTGCAGCGTGAAGAGCCTGCCTTTCATTTCTACTCTCGTTGGGCCTCTGTTTTCCGAGCAGACAAAATCCCCATCAGGAAGTACGCCGACGGCACCATCGACATTGAGGAGGTGACAGAGAACCCCAAGACCGAAGTGTGTGGGGGAGAGAAAGGACCTTGCTGTGCTTGCCCCAAAACCGAAGCCGAGAAGCAGGCCGAGAAGGAGGAGGCTGAGTACCGCAAAGTCTTCGAGAATTTCCTGCACAACTCCATCTTTGTGCCCAGGTACCTGTGTCATTTGAAAATGTCTCGGGCTCGTGCCCCTCGTCTGGGTCTGCTGCTTTCTCTCCACCCTGGTAGTTCGCAGGTCAGCAGCCTCGGGCCAGAACCACGGGGAGAAGCAATGCCACGGAGGGAAACAACTCAAGTGCCCATCAGTAGATGAATGGATAAACAAGGGTGGTATGGCCATCCAATGAAATATCATTCAGTCATAAAAAGGAATGAGATCCTGAAATATGGGCTATAACACAGATAAACCTTGAAAACATTATGCTAAGTGAAGGACGCCAGCTGTAAAAGGTGACATTTCCTGTAGCCATCAGGAGAGAGTGACAAAATAGGAGAGTACTTTGGGGTTCCTGAGGAAGCCAGTTAGCTCTGAAGGAATGGGGCTCAGGGTTCATGGTGATGGGGGCCACCAGCATGACAGGGACAGCTGCCTCTCAGCCCCATGACCTCCTGTAAGAGGGCAGGTGAGACGGGACTGGAGCTCAGAGAGCTGAAACCACCTGCCCGTGCTCATGGAAACCAGTGAGTGGAAACAGGCTGGGCCCTTCTCCGCCCCCCACTCTGACTGGCTGAGGAGGAGAAGCCTCAGTTTTCAAAGGGGCCCAACTTCCAAACATAACCAAGTGCCACAGGCACCCCTGACCAGGCAGGTTTGGGAAGCAGCCCCTGCCCCGAGGAACCCGTCTGCTCCAGTCTCTGTTTCTACCAAATGAAGGAATGTAAATGTTCAAAGCAGTACAATTCACAGTAGCCATAAGTTGGGAACAACGCAAGTGTCCTTCAATAGATGAATGGATAAACAGATGTGGTATGTCCATGCAATAGAATATCATTCAATCATAAAAAGGAATGAGATTCTGAAATATGGGCTACAACATGGATGAACCTTGAAAACATGCTGAGGGAAACACGCCAGATGCAAAAGGTGACATTTCCCATTTGCTGGTAATTACAGGGCTTTGGTTCAAGTGTTAGTCCGAATATTCTGTACTGAGTGGTTCTGAGAATCAGAAAGTCTGAGGACTGGAAAAGAGCTCAAAGATGTTTAAAAAGCAGAATTCAGGGCTAGTGACTTCCCCAGCATCCTAACGACCTCACGATGGATTTGGGACTTGGTCCTCCCTCCCCGCCCACCACGGCTCTTTCCCTTTGTGGCATTGCTTCTTCACAGTGGGCCATTCCCCCAGGCCAGCGGAGGCTCAGCCGGTGTTACTTCCTGTGGCCCCAGCAGAGGATGAATTTAGAGGGGCGCGCAGGCTGGGCAGGAGTTGTCTGTTTCGTCTCCATCCAAGGCTGTCGGCTACTTGCTGCCTTGTCCCACGATCTGCCAGAGATTCCGGTTGAGATCCAGGCTTTGGGGAGGTTTTGCTGAAATGCCCTCAATTTTCCGTTTGTAGTTATAAGGCAGCCCCTTTTTCTTCTCGGCAGATGTGGACACAAGACCAAGTGATGGGAAGGCCAAGCTGTGGCTGACACAGACATTATTAACACATGGGGCTCGTGGTGTCCAGTTCAAAAGACGTTTCCCCAAGGCCACTTCTCCCTGGCGAAGGCATCCCTGTGATCCTGACATTCTCTCTTCCAGGACGGGCCCAACTTCCTGTTCTGTTTTTTGTTTGTTTGGTTTTTTTCACAAGATGAACATAAATACTCTATTTTGTCCATAGTGAGGGGCCACAATTTGTAAGGACTCCCTGTTTGTTTTTTCATTCATCCTACTGAGGCATAACTCTGATGTCCACACAATTTCTGACAGAATTCGGGTCAGAGGCGTGTCCGGATGACAGAATGACTGAATCGGAAAGGAAGGTTTTCTGTTTTACAATTATATTGTCCAGAGATGCTTTTTATTGCTTTCAATGCGTTCTAAGAGCAATTTATTTGGGGGCTAAACCCAGCCAAGTCTGATTTAGTACGTTATCCATCATCTAACGCGTCCCACGGAAGTCAGAGTTTATAAGCTGCTTTCTGGAGACAGTATGTGATGGTGAATGCCTTTTCTTGGCCGTTGCCTTTATTTTTTTTAATCCTATAGTTTGGTTTTAAGTAACTGAAAGGTCAACAGATGTTGAAAAGTAAAGGTTTTCCGGAAGGAGCAGGTTGTATCATGGGTGGGAGTGGGGAAAGCTGGTGATTCTAGTTGCTGTTGGTCTCGCCATTTGGAAACGTGGCTGTTTACAGAGAACCATGAGGGACCGTTCCACCTGCCCTGTGCCCTGTCCTCCTGATAATGTCCCATGTGGCCTACTTTTCCCGTCCCTGACTTGGTGTCAATAGTAACAGCTTTGCATCCTCCCAAAGTGTGGTGTTTATACATAAATAAACTATTGAGTGAACTTAATGGTATGATCCCAGGTACAGGAGGGGGTGGGTTGTGTGTGGGAGGGGTTTTAACACAGTATTATTTTGCAGTGGATGAAACCCAAGCAACTTCTTACTTAGAGATGCAAGCAGGTGTTGTGTTGGTTTTGTGAAAAATACAGACTCTGGGTGTCAGAGGAGGGGGGGGTTAGCAGGAGCTTCAGAGGGAAGGGTCCGGGGGGTCCAGGCAAATGCTCGCTGCCGGCATCTTTTCTTTTTTCCACAGTCAGACGAGGTCAAAGCCACCACCACGGGCCTTTGAACCCCCTCTGCTCCATCTCTCTGGGGCCCACACCGTGCATCTCACCTCACCCCTTCTAAGTCTTAGCATGGCCAGTAGGTTGGCCACCTTTAGTACTTAACCATGAGGTCTGTGGACCAGATGTCACAACATCTAATGAAACAGCGGGGCGCTGCCTGTAGGTATAGTCGAGTAACTGCTCTGGGAGCCAGGGGCCAGTCTGTGTGCTGACTCTGAGATTTGCAGAGAAGAGAAAGTTAAACAAATACTAAAGAAGGAAATCCCCGTATTATTCGTTGGTTCTTATCCAAGGGGGCTGAAGAGCTCCTTTTGTTCCAAGGTGAAGAATTTTTTCTTCTTGCTGTTACTCTAACCCAAGTCACGGCTGAGACAAAAGATATGGAAGCACCTGCAAGCCCAGTTCCTCTCTTTCTTGCAGACCCGAAAGGAAGCGGAGGGACGTCATGCAGGTCGCCAATACCACCATGGCCACCCGAAGCAGGAACAGCACGGTGGCGGACACCTACAACGTCACGGAGCCAGAGGAGCTGGAGACGGAATACCCTTTCTTTGAGAGCAGAGTGGACAACAAGGAGAGAACCGTCATTTCCAACCTCCGGCCCTTTACTTTGTACCGCATTGATATCCACAGCTGTAACCACGAGGCCGAGAAGCTGGGCTGCAGCGCCTCCAACTTTGTCTTTGCAAGAACCATGCCTGCAGGTACGGGGTGACCCAGCTCGCCCCACTCCCAGCTCACTCCCAGCCTCGCGGAGAAGGTCGTGTGTTATGGACACGGCGTCTCCTTGCTCTCAGCCCTGCTTATGAAAGATTGGGGGGCTCATCTTGGTGGCCCAGCAGCCCAGGGGGTGTCATCCGTTCCTAGTGACATCACGCCCATCCCAGTCTCTGTACAGAGTGGTCAAGGGCAGGGAGCTCGCTTCAAGGTCAACTCTCCTCCCCTACTCAGTTCACAGTGTGCATTTCCATGGCCCATTTCCCCATTTGTGCACAGGTAAATCTGCCTGGTCTCTCCTGAGTCCTCACAGATGCCGTGAAATTCCCCATTAGCTGCCTCGATTCAGAGTGACCATTGCGCCTCAAGGAGTAGCCTTTGGTCCTGGTCATTTGGCCTTCACTTTCCCCTTGTAAGTAGAAGCTGCCTGTTGTTCAGATAGTCATCCATCCACCTTTAAGGATGGCTGACCTGCCCAGTTCTCTTTCCTGCCAGAGGCGGCAGGTAGTAGAAAGAGCACGGAGTCTGGGAGTGGGGCCTCCTGGGCTCAGTTCTGGCGCTGACGTGCAGCGTGCCTCGAGGCAGCAGTCAGCCTCCCCAGCCTCAGTTTCCTCAACTTCCCAGAGGAGAACCAGGCCAGCTGATTTCTCAGAGCCTTTCCCAGCTGCTACTGGTCGTGACTTCTGCTCACCACATGGCTTGCTGTTTTAAGAAGCAAAGGCAGGAGAGAAAGCACCCCCACCTCACCTGGCAGCTGGAGGAATAGCTGGTGATGGCACCGAGAGCCTGCTTTCAGGACCAGTTCCCAGCAGTTACCCCACAGGCCGGGCCCTGGGAAGGACCCAGGTCACAGCCTGGGGGCTTGATGCTGTGCTCACTTGGCACCTTCTCAGTGCTGCTGTATGTGATGGCATCACTTGGTTTCTTTGGCCAGGTGGTAGAAGCTGATACTAGAAATACGTTACTCAGGTTGCCAGAAACGTTCCTACTGGATTGATGGGGGCCCAGCGAACAGGGAGGGCGTGTGGCACCTTGAGACTTAAGGTCACTAGATGGCTCCAGCTGCAAAGCCTCCGCTGTGTGAGCAGGGAGCTCATGAGGACTTGACATGTCACTGTCCTCAGTTCTGCATGCATGGATTGGGGGAGGGTATTCTTAGGTTAGCCTAGTGTTGGGGTCCCTCCTGGGGGACCCCAATCTGACTTTATTTCCTGTTTATGTCGTTGCACAGAAGGAGCAGATGACATTCCTGGGCCGGTGACCTGGGAGCCGAGGCCTGAAAACTCCATCTTTTTAAAGTGGCCAGAACCTGAGAATCCCAATGGATTAATTCTAATGTATGAAATAAAATACGGATCACAAGTCGAGGTAAGAGCGGGCAGTGGTCCGTGTCTGGGTGTGTCTCTATTACAGCTGATAGCGTCGGTTACCGCACAACACAGGTCACTTCCTGCTTAGCTTAAGACCTAAAACAATACAATGAGGTGTAAGTCCGTGACCGTTCAGGTCTTTCTGGCAGCTCCGAGTCTTTGAGAGGTTCATGGAGTGTGTGCCAGGAGCGGGGCTCTTCTCATCCTCTAGAAACTGTTTTGTTGCACAAAATGACCTTTTGGCATAGTCTAGATGAGTCTTAATAACTTTTCCTCTTTCTGGAGCTCTTTTGGGTTACAAAAAAAAGTGTTTGGTTCAAATGTAGGTGTGTTTCAAGTTCCTGGAGGTTGTGGTGGAAGACGTGGCTTCTTCCCTTTTATTGCCAATGGGGATCCCTGTTACATGGGAGGTGAGAGACAGGGCCGCGAGAGGCACCCATTTCTCGCGTGTTGCTGGGAAACTGACCCGGATGTTTCCTTTGCTCCAGGATCAGCGGGAATGTGTGTCCAGACAGGAGTACAGGAAGTATGGAGGCGCCAAGCTGAACCGGCTCAACCCAGGCAACTACACGGCCCGGATCCAGGCCACCTCACTGTCTGGGAACGGGTCCTGGACCGACCCTGTGTTCTTCTACGTCCAGGCCAAGAGTAAGGCTATGGGGGGGGGGGCGTGGCTGGAAATGCAGAGCAGCTTGGGTTATCCTGGCCTCTGATTTCCCTTGGGAACCCGGCTGACCAACTCTGGGATGGGTTACCCTGCTGCCAGCACCTCATCTGGGAGCTTGGGCTGGGGGGCTGCTGCACTCGGAGTCCCTACTTGTCTCATGGGTGGGGAATGGGGTGTCTGAGCCCCTGTTTTGAGGGGGTCAGCAAGAGGCCTTTGCTCTCAACTGGGTTTATGTCCCAAGCATTTTGCAAAGCGTTGAATTGACCATTCTGCCTACTGCCTTGTCAGGGACCCTGGTTAGGGCTTAAAATCCTAAGGGGTGACAGAAACCTGGGCACCATCTGGTCCAGCCTGCACCAGGGCCAAAGTGTCTGTGACAGCACCCCTGGCTGAGACAGTGTCCCCTGTACTGCCTATTGGTAAAACACTGATGCATTTTGAAAGCACCAATGTGCATTGAATACACTCAGTGCTCACTGTCTGGCACAGAGACTGGGCCATGTGGTGAGTTTATGCTCAAACCCTCAACAAGATAGAATTCTTAGAAGGCCATACTATGCGAGGATTTCAGGTTTTAAAACTGAATTTTGTAAAATATATAAGCACAACAAGGGCTCTATATTTGCTTGGCTAAGAAAATTCAGTCTATTTTTTTTTAATGACATAAATATTCCTTCTTAGTTCCATAATGAGTTTCTACTATTTCTTGTTAGAAACCCAGTTGTTTAGATTATTTCGTGTTCAGAGAATGGGATCAACCCTGGCGTTAACATTGTTTCTTGCTGCCTCTCCCACAAGGAAGAGCAGCCCCACCTTGCTTACTGGTGTGACCCGTGAGTCTGGGGCAGTGCCCGCGGCCTGGTCCCTCCTGGGCCCACACCTGTACTGCTCTGACCTGGAGTCTGAGTTTTTAAATTCAGGATTCAACCGGTCCAGCTGTCCACCTGGTTGGTGCCTGATAGCCAAATACCTGCGGGCTCTATGAAAACCCTAACAGTGACAGGTATCAAAAGCAGGATAGGGTGATTAGGATTGCAGGCCTTGAGGAAGCATTTCATGAGCCTGGGTTCTGGTTTTAGGGGTCAACAGGTGCCGAGGCAGATAATTCTGCAAACTAACATAGTCTGAAGGCTCCATGTGATCCACTTAACCTGCTGTCCCCCGTCAGCCAGTGCTGTCATTCCAGCGCTAGAACCTTCACAATCTCCCGAGGACCCTCTCCAGAGTCTTATCTTGCTTTTTCCTCTCTCCTCTTCTGTTTGCATCCATCCCACTGAGTTCCAACCCTGTTTCCACATAGACATCTTGACTCGGGTGTCCCATGGGCACCTCCCACTCCTTGTGCACTAAACCCAAATCACTGCTGCTACCCTCAGACTATCCCTCTGTTCTTTGTTTTTGAGCTCAGTCAGTGGCCTCATAACCCACGCACCTCTCAAGCCAGGAGCAGAGCCTAGGTTTGGGGTCTGGCATTGGGCTGTGGTATTAGGAACAGCAGCCTTGGCTTCTGGGGTTCAATGACCGTGGCTTATCTGCTGAGATGACAAGTTCCTCTGTCACTGCTGTCCCGTTTTTAGCCCCGTGAGTGCTAGGATGCCAGTGGCAAACCCAAGAACCCCTCTGATGGGCTCTTTCCAGCAGAAGGCAGCATGTATCCCAGGACAACGAAATCTGTGTGCCTTTGCCTTCTGTCAGACAAGACTCGCTCCCGTTTCAGTGCGGTCTCGTTTCCTCTCGTGTAATCCTCAGAGGAGAGGGAAGCTTAGGAAGCTTTCTGGCAATGGCTCTCCCTCTGTGAACCCTTCACATGCACGGATACTATGAAATTACACTTCAGACTTTTCCTCTCCAGATGAAACCATCTCAGGTCTTTGGACCTTTTCTCATAGCCCAGACTCAGAGAGCAATTTTCTCGCCATTTAATCATTTTGTTCTTCTGTGGATGTGTTCCAGTTTCTCCATGTCCCCGTGGAAATATGAAACTTGAAAAGAGCACAGTGCAACCTGACCAGTAGTATAAGTGATACAAAAATAAGGAATAGTCCTCAGGCGGAAAAAAAAAACCACAAAAACAACTCTATCAGCTTCCCAAAGGAAGTGACAACTTGCTAGTATTCTCGAGAATTAGAAAATGCAGGGGCCTGCATCCATCCATTTTGAGAGCTCTTTGATAAAAACATCCTTAATTTAAAAAATTAAAATAGCTTTAATGGTCCTTAAAGTGTAATAACAGTAATAGTTATCAGTGGCAAAATAATCATGGTGAGTGATTCATAATCGATGTAACTTGGTCCCCACTGAGTTCCAACCCCATTTCCACATAAAGACCTCGACTCAGGTGTCCCGTGGGCACCTCACACTTCTTGTGCGCAAAACCAAAATCACAGTTGCTACCCTCAGAATATCTCCCCATTCTTTGTTCTTGAGCTCAGCCAGTGACCGCAGGACCCTCACAGGCGTCCCTCACTGCTTTCTCTCCAGGCCTCTTGTTTCTCGTTCGAACCCATGGCATTGATCCTGCCCCTTCAGTACCTCTGGAATCAGCCTCTGTTGTCACCACCCCTGCCTCGGCGTGGAGCCTCCAGGGTGCTTGTTCCTTGAAGGAAGTCTATGTTGTGGGTACAGGGAGCCTGGTTCCAGCCCCAGGGCCATGGCTTGTCAGCTGCCTGTGTGACCCTGGGGACGGCAGGTCATCTCTGAGTCTCCCTCATGTATACAAAAGGAGGAGTGGTTTCTTCATGAAGCCTGCGCTGGGTCACGAGCACACGCCCAGGTTCCCTCCGCCCCCGGCACTCTCCCAGACATGGCAGCGCCCCCTCCTGGTGGCCAGCCCCTCCAGGCTGTCCTCGCACAGCCATCTCTCCATACGCGGAGTGGATCAGTTCATCCACATTTCTGGTGGTTACGCTACTTATGGATGTATTGATTTCCTGCATTGAGCAGAATTTTCAAGGATGTGGATAAGTGTCCCCAGCATCCAGGCTGACATCAGTCATAAAAGTGCCGGTGACAGGGACGAGCCGGTGCCGCTGTGAGCTCTGTGGTCTCAGACTTGTAACTAGACTCTCATGTTTGGGTAGAATTCAGAGCCACTTTGGCAAGGGGTGCCAGCCAGCTATTTTTTGTTTTTTTAAGTCATCTGTGGAACTGTCTTAAGACAAGTAAAAAGGTCAGTACAGCCTGAAAACTGTATATGAAGGAGTCCCTATTTTATTTTAGCAAATGTATGCATTTCTGTTCATAGTCATTAACTGCATATGAAGATTATTTCACTTAAGCCCATCGTTTGAACTATTATTGCAGGATATATTGCTCTTTAAAAATAAAAACTGGGTACACTTCTCAGTCTGCACTTCATCTTTTTTCAGATAACTCAGTGTTTTGGTGCTTATTTCTGATACAGTTTCCCTTTAGAATTCTGAGGTCGTGATAGGGCAGTGAAGGAATTTTCAGGTGTTTTTTTTTTTTCTCATACTTCCAGCTTAAAAAAAAAAATGAAATGAGCAGCTTGTTCACAGGGTGACAACTGACCGTTTCCCCTTGTTTCTCCAGCTACATATGAAAACTTTATCCATTTGATCATCGCCCTCCCTGTGGCCGTGCTGCTGATAGTAGGAGGGTTGGTTATCATGTTGTATGTCTTCCATAGAAAGAGGTGAGTGACATGGGGAGGGCTTCACACCCATTTTGTGGCTCAGTGGTTTGATGACATGAGCCTGAGTTAAGGTCAACTTTTTGAGGAAGTATTTTATGTGTTGGAAAACCTGCCTTGCCAATCAAATGTGCTTCACAGGAACAGAAAACATTTTCTAATGATGCAACAACAACATTTTTTTTTGGATAGGATGGATGGTGCCCTCATTGGTCACTCGGTCACAGAGATGCGGCTCCTTCTGCAAAGCTTTTGCAAACTTGATGTTTTAGTGCTCTTGATCAAATAACCCTTTTAATTTCCAGTGAAGTAAAGAAACTGTTTCCTTAAAAGCTGTAAACTGGGGCCACTGAAGAAGCCAAAAGACGCGTTAGCAAATGTCTGCTAGCCCCCTTGGGCCTGAATGGAAGTGTAGGTGACAGCTGTGATGGCGTTAAGGTCCCCTCACTCCCTTTCTCCTGATACTTAATGAAATAGAATAAATAAAATGGAATGACAAAGATGCAAATATATACAGAAATGTGTGGAGGTGGGGTTTTTTGTTGTTGTTTTTTAGCCTAAACTTTATTCTTATTGACAGAAACAACAGCAGGCTGGGGAATGGAGTGCTGTATGCTTCTGTGAACCCAGAGTACTTTAGCGCGGCCGATGGTAAGTTTGTGGTATTCACTGTTGGGGATCCCAAATCGGGGAGCTTTCGGGAGTGTTGCTAATATAGGGGAAGAGGTTTACATTACTTGAAGGGACCTTTGTCCTCAGATTCATCTTTGTTACCATTTTTTTTTCAAAGTTTTTAGCAGTTCATTGAATATCTCAAAAATTCTGTGACCGTTTGAGATGCCCCAAGGAAAAACAGGCTTCAGAGAGGGATATGGCCAGCACAGTAATTCATTTATTTAATGGCTTGAAATTTTATGCTAAAATGAAAAAAGCTGTTAAATGGTTGACGTCCAGAAGGTCTGAATTGGAAGTTGGGTTGTACTCAGTGGTTATTTTTGTTTTGTTTTTTTTTCTTTCGTTTCTTGCTGTTTTTTCTTCTCACTGTGCTAAAATCCAAACCTTTAAAAGTATGTTGGGGTGTGGTATCGGTCATGGGGTCCGGCCATTAACTGGCACTTTTGTTTTTCCAAATGCCCTCCCAGTTGACCCCTACATCCCTGTAAGGTGGGTTTTCATGTGCTCGTCTGTGTCGGTGAGCACATGAGGCTCAGAGGGGAAACTTGCCCAGGTCCCATAATTAAGCAGTTGAGAAGTCAGAAGGACTCTGTCCTTGCCATCTTGTGGCTAGTCACCATGGTAAAGGACCATAAGGTCCTCGGGGCGGGCAGGGAAGCTGGCCTATAGGAGCAGCTGGAGCGGTTTCATCAAATGAATAAATCAGTGCGTGCAATTGGGCGGATGTGTTTAGCAAAGGTGTTTTTGCCTCTTTTGTTGCTTCAGGGGAAGTGAAGGGAAGATGTGCAGGAGACATGCAATAGTCACGATTGTTCTGCTTGGTTGTCCTGGTCAAATCAGAAAACACAAGAAAACACTTGGACCATTTTAAAGCACTGTATCAGTGTGTCAATTTTTGCTGTGATTTCTTTAATCATTTCAAATTTAGTTGTGTTTACCTCAAAGCCGATCAAAAGCAGCCTCCTCTCAATGGAAATCGAATAAGGAGGACTTTATTCCTGTTTATGGAAAGGTCTCACAAAGTTGTATTTTTAATAGGTATATATATATATATATATATATATATATATATATATATATATATATANACTGGCCCTTATATGTGGGATCCGAACCGGGGCCCTCTGGCGTTCCAAGCCAGTTCTTAACCATCGCACCACTCGGCCGGGCCGGTTTTGTGTTTTGATGACTTGCTAAGTTTTCCTCTTAGTCTTAATAGGTATATATATATATATATATATATATATATATATATATATATATATATATACACGCGCACACACGCATGCACGCACCCCTCTGCCCCATATATGTACCTATGTTTGTATATAAGGCATAGAGAACATTCTGGAAGGATACACACCAAATTGAAAAGAGTAGTTACTTGTGGAGAGGCTCTTTTTCTTCTTTTTTAAAAAAAGCAAGAACATTTTTATGCATTGTTTGCATAAATAATTTATTTAAAAAAATAAATTAAGGTAAGGAGTCATCACACACTTAGTAGAATTTATAGGGGAAATGCAAGGCCACGTCCCCTCTCTGTAAGGATGCAATAAGACTATTCTAGAGAATCTGCTCTGCTTTGAAATAAAGCATGGAAGACTGGCATTTGTCGCTTTGACTATGAGGTGTCTAGGAAGTTTAGAGAGAGCATTAATACAATAATATCAGAGTCTAATGTTGGTTTAAATTTAAATTTTGTGTCTTTCCAGAATGCTTTCATAATATGTCTTGATTCTTCTTTAAAATAAAAACAAACAAAAAGCAAATTTACTGTCACTCAGGCCAACAGGTAGGAGCACTGTCGCCTCATTTGAACCTAATGTATTCAGCTTTTTGACAGGAACCTTCTAGCTAGTTTGCTCAAGGGGCGACAAAATGACATTGCAGTTCAAAAATGCTTTAAAAACTTCTTTTTCCAAAAAACTAATCTGCATGTCACACTGAAAATCCCCTACAGGGATGTGCTGATAACATTGTGCACCTAAATCCTGCTGCCTGGCAGGGCTTAGGCTGCTGGGGGATGTCAGGGCTCCTCAGTTGCATTTATAGAAAAAGATTGTGAGGATTGACTGTAGCGGACCTCCCAAGGAATGGATGCGATGGCTCCTAACTCCATGTTTTATGGCGTGCTACATAGTTAATTCTGATGAAAAGCAAGCCGGGATAAATGGATAGAGACAGTGTCTCTTTATACTTTCCGAGGGGTACTGTGAGGAGACTTACCTGCTGGGGTGCCTCGTGTACTTGCTGTCCTGAGCAAGCGCCAGCCTCTTTCTTGGGGCTGTAAGCCGTCTCAGCCTCATGGACAGCAGATTTCCATTTGTGAAATTCCTAAACACATATGGACTGACGTACATACAAAAATGTGTGTGAAAGAAAATTCTAGATTGGCCAAAACAGTCCTTACGGGAGACTCTTCAGAGGTGTAAATGAATGGTATCTCCTGGGCCTAATGTGGGGACCTCTTTCCTGTAAGACATCACTTAAAGGTAGATACTGGGGACTTGGGATGTTGGAATTCAGTTGTCAGCCCGTTGCTTCTAGCGCATCCGGCCGCAGTGCCTGAGGTTATCATCTGAAAGCACAAAAGCAAACAGCTCCCACCCCAGGTTCCCAGTCCTCCTGCGTTTCTGAGCCAGGGTCCCCTCCTCCTTCCCATTTAGTGTGCTGGGGAGCCTGCCGGGTTTTCCCCTGTCAGGCAAGGATATAAGAAAGCACGCAGCGTTAGATGAATATGATTATAATTGAAATTTTGTATGGAGCTTATGGAATAGGTTGATTTTGTTTCCATTTTCACCCTACCCATCAAGAGTTGTGGGATGGCCCCGTCTGTTTTGTTTTCTTTGTTACCTTCCGTCTTCCTTTCCCTCTCTCTCCTTTTCTCCTTCCTTCCTGCCCAGAATTCTTTGTTAATTGATTTTCTTAAATTGGATTGAATCAGACCAGAAGCATAGGTTGGAGAGGAAATTGTATTCAGACTCAGTCATCACCATGCCCATTGCCCAGTCCCTCACTCCGGGGGTGGGAGGTCCTGGGTTCGCAGAACCACAGCCCCAGGGAGACCTCTCTTCTCATCAGCTGTCCCTCCACGCTGGTCACTACTGAATGTCCCTTGGTGTTAGAGCTCCACTGCTTCTGTACCTTACTAGATACAGAAGCGTCTTTGGCAAGGCGGAAGACGCTTCGTCTAAACTAGAGCGGTGGTACCAGTGAAAATATAATGCCAGTCCCATATGTAACCTTAAATTTTTCTAGTAGCCACATTAAAAAAAGTAAAAAGAAACAGGTGAAATAAATGTTAATAATGTTTTATTTAACCCCGTATATCCAGAGTAGTATCAATTTTAATATGTAATCAGTATAAAAATTATGGAAATATTTACATTATTTTTTGCACTAAGTCTTTGAAATCCATTATGAATTTTATAATTTCAGCATGTCTCAAATTGGATGACTTTCTGGTTCTTATTATATGCTCTTAGTATCCTTGAATTTTCTAGGAATCCTTGAAGATTCCAAATACCAGTGTTTGGCCATACAGTTGGCATACTAAACTCCACAGTATGTGGGAAATTTCAGAACAAGCCAAGACATTGCCCACAAAGTCCTCCTGGGTGGGCTTTAGGATGTAGCACTTTGTATGCTTTGGCCCAGAGGTTCCCCTGGAGGCACGTTTTTTTGCCCAGGTGTTGCCACCCCCGTCTGAGTCCTGTGTCCTCTTTCTCTAGTGTACGTGCCCGACGAGTGGGAGGTCGCTCGGGAGAAGATCAGCATGAGCCGGGAGCTGGGCCAGGGCTCCTTTGGGATGGTGTACGAAGGAGTAGCCAAGGGCGTGGTCAAAGATGAGCCCGAAACCCGGGTGGCCATTAAAACGGTCAACGAGGCCGCGAGCATGCGTGAAAGGATTGAATTCCTCAATGAGGCTTCCGTGATGAAGGAATTCAACTGTCACCATGTGGTAAGAGAAAGCCCCTGACAAGGCAAAACCTGACACGGGGAGCACGCTTCACGGGAGCCTCTAGTCAGTGTGACGGTGGCCACGTCTGTGGGTTTGGTGACTCACCCCCATCCGTCTACCACAGAGTCCCCCATCGGCTCCCTGTGGCCTGTAGACACCTGGGCACACGAAGGTCCCTGGTGGGTGGAGCCCCTGTGGCCCGCTCACCTGGGCTGTGTTCCTGGCCAGCAGGTGCCAGCACCACACAGTCTGTTCTCGTGGTGTAGGCAGCGACGTTGTGGTCCTCCCTCCCCCTCTGAGCCCTCCTCTTTGTCATTCCTTCCAGGTGCGTTTGCTGGGTGTGGTGTCCCAGGGCCAGCCGACGCTGGTCATCATGGAACTGATGACACGGGGGGACCTCAAAAGTTACCTCAGGTCTCTGAGGCCAGAAATGGAGGTGGGTTCTGATTTTAACCGAATTTGCGTGTTATCTGTTCCCTTCCTTTTAGAAACTTCCCCCAGGTGATACTGTGTCTTTAAATCCCCTTACTTTCAGCATGGCATGCTTCTTGCTGCATGCGTGGTTATGGGTCCTTTACAGGAAGGATTTCCCTGACTAGAGTGAGGCCTCTATCTTTTGTGAGAGGCACGGGCCGTGCCTCAAATACCCTTTTTCTTCAACACCTATGTGCCATCCCTCCACCTCCAGGTACCTCCCCCACCGCCCTCTCCCTTGATTTCCCCCCCTGCAGACCCATGTCAGCTCTGTCCTTCCTGAAGCCTGTCGTGGCCCCCTGGCCAGGAGTAACTGCCTCCTCTGCTGACTTCTCCGGTCCTTACACAGCCTTTCTCCTATTTGGCCCTCTGAGTGTGTCCGCATCCACCCCATCGTGCTCAGCCTATCGTCCAAGGCTCAGCCTGCAGCTCAGGGCTGTGTGTGGGGCAGGCAGGCAGGCTTCCACAAAATGCTTGTCAAAGTCCAACGTCAGGATGACTTGATTCCTGTGCTGGGTGGCTTCCCACGCAGCCGGTGCACGGGCACCCCCTGGTTTGTGAGCCCCCTCCCCACACACACGCCTCCCCCCACCCCATGCTGTCAGCTGCAGTCTATGCCCTTGGCACGTTGGAAGCTGCACTTCTCAAACTGCATCCGAGGCAGGGTCTTGCTTGTGCTTCTGAAAGATTCTTGCCTCAGCTGCCAGATCTGTGCTCAGTCTAGTAAAAAAATATCAGTCTGTGTTACGAGTTTCAAATTTGAAACCTGCTCAAGTCCTGTGTGGTCGCCCTGGTGTCCCCGTTTTCATAGCATGAACCCATGAGTCAACTCTTTAACTCATGGAGGCATGACTTCTAAGTGAGTAATTCTAAGAATAAAGTGGTAGATAAATACTTAGAAATAATAGCAGCAACATCTGCCTTTCATTTGGCTGCCTCGGTGGGTCTAAAGCCTTGCCCCTTTACCCTGACACTGCTCTGTGTTGAATAAGCTCTGTGGCTGCTGTGTGCCCTGGAATACTGCCCATTCTCAGCCCCATTTGGGTTTCTGTGGCCTTTCTCTGTTTGAGCTTAATCTTTTGTTTTCTCCTTTTAATTTGAAACTTAGTCACCTTCCAAGTAGCCGTGCTTTCATTTTAGTTCCAAGTACCTGTTCACGTGTGACTTCTCTTGTTCACAGCACGTGACTTTGGTGGTTCTGTGAGGGCCGTGAGTGTGAACCGAGGCCCGGAATGTGTGTGTGTGGGAGGCTTCCAACCTCTGCTCCTTCCCTGGATCTTAGGCCCCTTTTCTCCCCCGCTCACTCTGAAATGCACAAGCCAGCGCGCAGGAGAAAAGCTTGGTCAGATAGGTGACTGTCTCCAGATAGGTGAAAATACACGAGGCAGTGTATTTCTTATCAGAGGCATTCCAGGCACCTCTGAAAAGTATGCAACACTCACTCCCTCCCTCCCCAATTTCAGGCACAGAATGCAAATTTGGAGCACGTGGTCTTAGTTCCTGCTCTGCCACTATCTGCGGTCCTCAGTGTCCTCGTGTGTAAGCTAAGAGGGTTGGACGAGAAGATGACTGAATTCCTTTTCAGATTGAAAATTTGCTTTTAGATGTGTCAGATTGAAACCTGTTCTAACGCCTATCAAGGGTAAAAACAGGATTGCTTGTCCTGCAGTTTCATTATATTCTACCTGGCATCTCCCGCCCAAGTTAAGATGGGCTCATCTACCTCACGACATGTGGGTGCTTGTGGATAATGTGTCTTAAGTAGCGCTAAGCAAATGGCAGATTACTGCTCTCGCAAACGCCTGACAGCTCGGCTGTGTAGAGCTGGAACTGACAAAATGGCAGCCCTCTCTTTTAATACTTAAAAACGATCGATTCTGTTTTTCCTATTAATTAGGAACGGCCACTTGTCGTGAACACCTGTACTTAGCACTCCACAACTTAAGTATTATGAGCAGAACCTTAACATGTCACCTGCAGATGTCCTAGTGGGCCATGGGTCTCTAACACTCTGAGAAGGTCAAATGGAAATGGCACGTCCTGAAGAAACAAAGCTCGTCTAGAGGAGGCTCCCCTGTAAAAGAAAGTGGTGGCTTTGGCTTACTCTTGGGGACGTTTGTGTCACCTCCCCGGGCAGTTCAGTGATAAGTATTTTAAATGACCAGAAACGGTCTTGAGAGTCTCTTCAGAATTCAAATGGACGTGGAGTGGAGGGAACCAGCCAGGAGTACTTGGAGAGTTGTTAGACTGCTTCTAGAAGCTGCCTTTTAGCAGAAACTAGCACCTCACTGGGTGAAGCCAGCGTCCACTGAGTATGGACCCTGGCTAGGCACCAGCGGGCACTGTCAGTGTAGGTCCCAGGTCATCCTCTTGGCAGTGACCCCAACTTGACCCCTGTGTGGAAGAGCCCAGACAGTCTGATCCCAGAGTCCAGACGTGCCCTGTCTGAGGCCCACAGGGTTTTAGCTGGAGAGGTGACACATGGGACCTGTCAGAGCCAGATGGCTTTGCAATCTTGTAAGAGATACTTTATAGCCAGGGCAACTGAGGTAAAACTCTCTTGCAGTAAATAGTACAAGCAAGAGATGGTTAGCATCTCAACTGTGGAGTGCTGATTGGTTTTTGAACTTTTTTTTTTTCCAGGATGGAGAGACTTTCTGTTTTATGCAAAACTTTTTTTCTAAATGGATTTATTATGATTTGGGAGTATTTCTCTTTAATTCCAAAGCCAGTATGTTGCCCTCCTCTGCAAATAGGAAATCCTTATCCACTTGTTTGTGGATAAAATAGTTGCTTGTCACTATTTTACCTTGGTCCCCCTCCAGAATCAGCTTCAGCTGGACTTAAATTGTCCAATGCTTATTTTCCTTATTGCCCATACAAAATAATAATCCAAGGAATGCCACATTGTCAGGTGAAAAAAATTAGTCTTGATATTTTTGTACTTTAGAAGAAAATTGAAGAGAAAGGAAGATTACATTTATAACACTGCTTATGTGGGACAGAAAACACAAACTGTCCATTTGGGAAACACATTTGCGCATTTCCGCACAACCTTTACAATGCCCTCTCCCTCCTGTTACCTGTACTTTGATTCTAGAAATAAAAAAACAAAACAGAAACAGATAGGAGTTCGCATAACTGAGAATTATTAACATCAAAAAATGGCTTGTTTCACTTTACATAATTTTTTGCCCTACCCAGAATAGACAGTGCTGGTTGCAAGTTGTGTTCATTGGTGTTGCTCCCTGCAGCTCTGTGTGATGTGGTCATCCAGCAAGCACGTGATTCGACCACGAAGCAGATGCTATGGTCTCCGTAATAATACGTTTCTTCTGAGCACGTCCTGACCTGTGCTGCTCAGATTGCGCAGAGATGGATTCGAAAGAATGTGGAGTGGGAGAAATTCCTCAATTCTCATGTGAATTTTTATTTTTTATTTTTTTTATTTCCAACAGAATAATCCAGCCCTTGCTCCTCCCAGCCTCAGCAAGATGATCCAGATGGCGGGCGAGATCGCCGACGGCATGGCATACCTCAATGCCAACAAGTTCGTCCACAGAGACCTTGCTGCCCGCAACTGCATGGTGGCCGAAGATTTCACTGTCAAAATCGGAGGTGGGTCCTTCGCTTTTCAGATCCGGGAAGAACTCCAGTCGCATATGTTCTAGGGATTGAGTTAGCGTTAGGCTGCCTGTGGAGAGGTTTGCCAGTGCGTGCTGTAAGCGCCATGTCCTGCTCTTGGGAATAATATCACTGTCTCCAGTTGATAGCCAAGCACAGACCTGGCCGGGCCGGCCCTTGTCCTGAGAGCCTGTGGGCACAGTGCTTCACACAGTGGACAAGGATGGTCCCTTAGCTTGCCTTTGCTGGCACTTCAGGCATTTCTTGGCGGAACAGTGGTAAGTATTGGTTACAGAAATAATCGAGACAGTGTCTTCAGGTGATTCTGACTTGGGAATAAAAGTCACCATCCAAACTACCAATATGTCCTCCATTTTTCCAGCGTACAAGAAGCATTGTCCCCCTCCAGGGTCGATGGAGTTTTCTAAGAGTTGAGGTCCCCTAATGTGAAGTCCCTGGACAGAGCAGGGGTAGTGGCAAAGAGGTGGCAGTTCCTCAGGCGAAGGACGATCGCTGCCTCCTGGGGTCACACCCAGGCTTGTCAGCAGTCAAGCTATTGACCTCTCTGCTGTCACCCTTACGTAGCTGACCAACTATGTAAGGTGTGTCCCATTATTGCCACCACTCATTGTCACACCAACAAAAGGGGTTGGATTGCATTTCTGACCACCGGTTAGGAATTCATTTCAGCCATTAGGTTTGGGTTTTGCTTTGGTCTTTTAATCGGCCTGATGGAAACACACATCCCCTCAGGGCTGCTCAGGAAACCCCCTGCTCTTACCAGGACCCTTATCTTCCCACTGCAAGATGATGACGGTTTAGAAAAATACCAGATATTTCTCTGGAGAGACTGCACAGGAGACTTGACATCCAAAAACTATTGAAAATGAACTTCTTTGTCTAGGCTTTGAATGGTCTGTTCTGGAAATGCCAGCCATATGTTTTTCTTTAGCAATGATTTTGACGGAAATGTTTTGGCCCTATGGTGAGCAATGACTGTCCCTCTAGAATGGTTTCCAAATGAGGGGTTCGTGTCTTTCTTTGTAGTTCATAGGAGCTAGAGGTGATGAACGGAGCCATGTCACAGAGCAGACATCCCTCAGCCATCAGAGTTACTCATTCAGAAGCCACCAGAGTGTCCCTGGGTTTGGCCCTTGGAGACACCCACATGTTTGGTGCCCCTTGAAGTCTGAAAGGCTGCCCTGCCCCAGGGTTCCCAGGCAAGAGCCTCTGTGGTGACCACTGTCTGGGCTTCCTTTGTGTGCCCCACTCCTTTTCCCTTCCCCCCATTTCTCAGTGGGGGCTCAGATTGTTCCCACAGAGATGCCAACCAGCCCCCCTTCCCCAGGCCTGAGCTTCAACCTCAGTTCTGCCACTAACAGGTGAGGGACATGGGGCAAGTGCCTCCAGGTCTGGGAGCCCCAGTTTCTTCACCTCTGAAATGGGACGATGCTGTAACAGATCTGTGAGCTGGTGGGCGGGATTGGTGCAGGACACAGTACTGAGCATGTGCCATGTGGGTGGGGCGGGTCCCCAGGAATGTTAACACCGGTGGTCCTCAGTGTCCTGCCATCACCCTTCCTGGCATGTGGCAGGAGCTCAGTCTATGCCACTTCCTTCCCTGCTTCAAATCACCGTGGGAGCCCTTGTTGTGTCACTTGCCATTTGAAGGTCAACTCTCTGAGGACTATTGGCTATTTCACCGTGGGGCATATTGATAGTGATATTTTCTTTGTGCTTGTGATTTTCCTTCCAAAAACTTGAAAATTTTCCTTTGTGTTAGAAGAAATACTTCGTGTTCTTTTTCTATGGGTTCTTTTCTTCCCTCCCCACCCCCCTTTTCGTGCAAGTAAAGGCAGACCCTCCAATGTGCATGCCCCTGGATTAATTCTGAGATAAGGCCCTAACACTTCATTTTGATTCTTCACTAGGGGCTCAGAACTGTTTTTCCGATGCCCAGTGTCTCAGATTACAAATCTGGCCAGTCATTGTACCAGAGGCAATTTGATGGCCCTTCACGTAGGACAAGTAAATTATGTTGGTGAACGTTCACGGATCTTGGTTCTCTGTTTGACTTTGTAGCCTAACGTCTTGGTGGCAGAGTTAGAGACACGAGTGCACAGTTCCAAAAGGAGAGCAGCCCTTTTTCATGGGAAAGAGAACAGAAAAGTCCCTGTAGGAATAAGTTGCATGATTGAGTGGGAAATCAAACTCTGACAAAGAAGCAATAATTTAGGATTATAAAGCAAGGCTGCCATCAAACATAATTATGTGACATCTTCTAGAGACATTGAAAATGGAAGACATTTTCAAAACTGAGTGGGTGTATTATGTTGAAAAACATTATTGAGTAATAGCTTCAGGGGCCTAGTAAATAGCATCTCTTAGGCATCCTTCTGTGTACTTTTTTTTTATTTTTTATTGTGAATTGGTCTCACTATTTACCCCCTTCTTAGATGGCAAAACCACTTTCTTTCCTGTGACAATGGGGCAGTACTATACAGTAAATAAGAGTCAACATGCTCCTGGGTGTTTCATCGGTTTTAAAACCACATATGAATGACCTTCAGTCTACACAGTACACACATTTGCTTGATAAACTCCGGAACGTGACCATTTTTAAATTGCCTCTCATTTTACATGCAATAAGGGAATTAAGTCTTTAAGTTACCAAATTATAAATGTATTGAAAAGCAGAGATTTCTGGGTCTTCCCTTGTCACGTGGCTAGCCCCTCATCCTTGTGAAATGGCAAACACGGGTGTCCGGCCCCAGTGCATGTGGTACAGGACCCTCCGTACAAGCAGTGACAGTGCACCTTTGCTTCTCCCCGACAGCTGCTCAGCGTAACTCTCGGGCCCTCTCTCCCCTCACAGATTTTGGCATGACGAGAGACATCTATGAGACTGACTATTACCGGAAAGGAGGGAAAGGCCTGCTACCCGTGCGTTGGATGTCCCCCGAGTCTCTCAAGGATGGCGTCTTCACCACTCATTCCGATGTCTGGTAGGAGAGGCTCTTCCTGGAATGCGAGCCCCGAGCCCTCTTGCCTCCACAGATCTCACTGACTCAGCCTCGAGGGCTCGATGTTGCTCTTGTCTCCTGTTCCTTGTTACCCCATTTCCAGCTTTGGCGAAGTGTTACGTGAGCCACACTCCATCGTGGAAGTCTTCCAGTTGTAGGTGGGCTAGCGGAGGACAGAGAGCATTTGTGGGACCTAAAGAATTTGCAGGACCCTCTGGTCTCAGTGCTGAGCTGCTCAGCGTGTGGCTAGGAGCCGGATGTGTCAGCAAACTGTACCTCTGCTCCTCCCCCAGCCTCCACCAGCCTTTTCTCAGTTTATCTTTCACAGTAGATACGTGCAGCGTGTTTGTATGGCTCCCTCACCTAGTTAGACCTTCCTTTGTACACCTTGCTTTCTCTAGACCCAAAGCTTATGAATCTGGATGTGTCTTCCTGTTGCTCTCACTGTCACCTGTCCCCTTTCAGTTGTCATGCATGGCTGTTGACCCAGGGATGGCCTGGAAAGCAAACTGTCTCCCTTAATCCTAAATGTCTCTTGGGATAGGAAGCTCCCCAGCTGAGGAGCGCAGAGGGCCCTGGCTCGTTTGTTTATTGCAATTCCTCAGCAATGTTGTGGAGAGGCCGTCAGGTTCTGGAATACAACCGAGGTTCTTGGCACGCTCAGGCCCTGGCACCACTACCTTCTAGAACATGGGCTAGTTTCTTGGCTGTCCTCTTGGGAGATCCCACTGCTGATGTGTTACAGAAATGGTAGTTGTTTACTTCAGCTGTCTGGATGACCACAGAGGGGAGCTGTTTAAATAGTGATCGATAGCATGGTGGTTTCTTTTTTTTTTTTAACCTTGTGACCCTGTCACAGTTCAAGGTCCTTGGATCTCCTTTTGAAGGCAGGTGCAAATTGGAAATGGTGTTTGAATGGGACCCAGCAAAGCATAATTGCTTCTTGAGCTCAAGTAGGAGGTCTGTTTTGCAATCAGCCTGCCCAAGATGGTTACCTCTCTACTGTCAAACCAAAGTGCTCGACACCATGTTTAGAGATGGAGGTGACAGGGAGAGGATAGGCCTGGGTCCCTGCATTTGTGAGGACCTGGCGTGTGCCTGCAGAAACAGGGCAACTAGAAGCACAGTGCCCGTCCTCCAGGGATGAGGTCTTGTGGAGAAGAGGCAGTGACACTGACAGGTTGGAATCCCGGAAGCCTTCCCAGAGGGAGTGTGGGGCACTCTAAAGTATGCATTGTCACCTATGGAGCAGGACAAAGCAGATGCCTAGCCGTGGGCCTGCTCAGGGAGGCCATGGCAGTGGAAAGTGCTTTTTGCCTAAGGAAGACAGTGGGGCCTCCTCAAGCAGGTGAGACTGAAGTGAGATTGAGCAAGGCCTCAGATGTGTGTTAGGGGTGTGGGGCCAATTCTGCGGGCTTTGCAGACTTCTAAGGCTTCTGAACAGGAGCGTGACCTAGCGCTGTGTTTTAAGTTCATGTGAGCTGAGTGTAAGGCTGCACTGAGTAAGACGGTGGTGCCCAAAAGGAGGTGCCAACAGGAGGGGATTATCTGCACTGACCATACCTGTGGACACACCTGAGCCTGAATTGGGAAGCAGTGGCAAGACTGCAAGGAGGCCGAGGGAAGGGTGGCTGCATGTCAACTGCTCAGGTGGGATGGGATGTCACCTAGAGTGAGGCCAGAACAGGGTTGGGGGCCGATTTGAGTTGGAGACGCGTTACATTTGTGGACAGCCAAGGAACTGGACGCTTGAAACAGAGCCATCAGGGCCGAGAGAGTCATCGTGGCAGCCATCCAGTGAGAACTGGCCGCTTGAAAGCCACGGACACAGCCAGGGAAAGCACATGGAGGGCAGGAGCAGAAATGGACCCGGGAGAGAACCACACTTCAGGGGGTTTCTCAGGCCAGGCCCTCAGTCAGTCAGAGAGCCAGCTTGTCATTTCTTGTGCCGAACCACATTTCAGACGTGAAGGTGGGAGTTGCAGCGTCCGTGGCATGCCGCCTGTGTGGCAAGGCCGATGTCAGGATGCATACAGCACACAGCCCTCGGCCCAGGCCCGGAGCACCACGCTTCGGCCTCTGCTCTGCGCTTTTCTAGGTCTCTTGTGCAATATAAAGACTATTTCTTGGTCACTGGCAGTTAAAAAGGGCCTTGGGTGGGTCAGTCCTCTGATGGCTAAGATTCTATTTATGTATAACATCTGCTGTTAGTATCAGTGTGTACAGAACCTGTTGTCCATGGAAAGGAGCTGAAGCAACGAATAAAACTTTCTGGTACACAGTCTGAGGCCTGAAACTCCCTCCACTTCAGCGTGCCCAGCTCTGCCATCTGGGCTGTGTTTACTCTCCAGGACCCATTAGTGGTAGTGAATGAGGACAAATGTCCCACACTTAGCCCCCCAGTGCCTGGCTCACTGTCCAACACGTGGAGGGTAGTTTTTCGGGGCCCAGGGTGGAAGAAATGCTGGAGCGGAGGGGGCAGCATGGTTCTGCCATCCTGTCAAGATCTCACATTTCTCCTGTCATGGCAGGTCCTTTGGGGTTGTCCTCTGGGAAATCGCCACGCTGGCCGAGCAGCCGTACCAGGGCCTGTCCAACGAGCAAGTGCTGCGCTTCGTCATGGAGGGTGGCCTTCTGGACAAGCCGGACAACTGCCCCGACATGCTGTACGTATTTCTGGGGTCACAGGACGTGGGTGGTTCTGAGAGCTAGTCTGTCAGGCCAGTGGGCACTGACGGCCAGGAGCGGTTTAGAAGAGGGTCATGTGACAGAAGTTACCTTAATTCCACCCCATCTCCCTCGATCCTTTAGTTCTGATTTGTAGTTTGTACTGTGGTTTCTGAGGCTAACGTTTCTCGGAAATATTTGCCCAAAACAATCCTTACTCATCTCCTCCATGCAATATCTAGGAGGGGGAAAAAGGCAACACTATGACACTGGTTCCTCTTACGCCAAGTTCACAGCTAGTTGCTGTGCACAAAGCTCTGTGAGCAGGATGCCTTTGTGTATTGTGCAGGGGAAGCATCCGGGCCATTTCGGGCTGTTGGCAGGACTCAGCTCTGGGGGCTGTGGGACTGAGGTCCCGTGTCCTTGCTCCGAGAGGCCGAGGCCGCTCCCAGCCCTTGCCCCTCCACTCCTCCCCGCCATAGGCCTTCTCACATCTTCAAGGCCAGCGAGAGAATCTCTGCTGCATTCACTGTTTTTTACCTGATTCAGTCCAATCCACCCAAGATCATTTCCCTTTTGATTAAGTCAGAGTCACCTGACCAGAAACCTAACAAAGGAGTGAAATCCCATCATATTCACCCCCTCAACCTCCATGCACATAGGGTGCTAACACCTAGGCAGAAATCTTGGGGGCCATCTTGGAATCGGATTTCCATAGTCTGGGAAGCAGAAACCATTGTCCTATCAATAAGCCAAGGTGTTGTTTTTCTCTGACGCACTTGGAGAAACTGGGTGCCCCTCCCCTGTGCTTTGGGTCATGTGAGCTGGGCGTGATATTTTTTAACTGCTGCTTCCGAATGTTTGTTCAGCCAAAGCCTGTTCCGTCCCGTGAACAGCTTGCATGGTATTAAGAAAGAGGGGCCAGAAACTGCCATAGGGAAGGCAGCATCTATGTGTGCGTGTGTGTGCATGCATGCTTGTGTGTGCGTGTGTGTATGTGTGTGTGGGGGGGGCAGGGGGACCCCTTGATCATCTGAGCACAGTCTGGGCTAGGAAACCTGCATGTGTCCTGGACATGAGCACAGGGTGGGGCCACCAGTGATGGGGCTCCACTTCTCACAGGGCAGTGCATGAGGGGGACACTGGGCTTTCTGAACTCATCAAGAAACTCCCCATGACTGACTTATCGGGGTGATCCCTTTATAAGGTATATAAATGTCCAATCACTGCGTTATATACCTGAAACTAATACAATATTGTGTGTCAGCTATAGGTAGAAAATAAATTAATTTAAAAATAAATAAATTTTTAAAAAAAGAAAAAGAGGAAGAAACTTCCCAATACAGCCTCTTCAGACCTTAGGACCCAAACTTGGAAGAGACCCAGAAGACTTTATTTTTTAGTGCATTTTCCTGCCTGGTGTAGAAATTCTCTCTTTCCCCACCTGTATTCGTGTTTTTATCACAGTGTAACATCACCTAAAACCTAACAGTTTACAACGATTAGCATGGATCACAGAGTTTCTGAGGGTTGGGAATGTGGGAACAGCTTAGCTGGTGCCTCTGACCTGGGCCTCCTAGGAGACTGCTCTCATCTGAAGGGTTGACTGGGGCTGGGATCAAGGTGAAGTGTCACCTGAGGTCTGAGTTTCTTCATGACGCTGCTCAGGTGTCTTCATGATGCTGCTCAGATGTCCTCATGCCATGCAGCTGGCCTCTCCTCGAGCAGGCTCAGCAAAGTTTTACTCTTAAAGGACAGATGAGTAAATAGTTTCAGCTTTTGGGCTCATGCAATCGCGATTGTGGTACTTAGTGCAAAAGCAGCCCTAGATATCACATGAGTGACTGTGGCTGGGCCCCAGCAAACCTTTATTTTTGGATACTGAAATTGGACTTTCACATAATTTTCATGTCACAAAATATTATTCTTATTTTGATGTTTTTTCAACCACTTGCAAATATAAAAACCATTCTTAACTCACTGGCCTTGCAAAATCAGACATTTGGCCCGCAGGCCCCGAGCTTGCCTGCCCTACCCAAGAGTAAACGATCCTACAGCTGAGCTGACCCCGCAGTCCTCAGAAGTCACACTCCGTATTTTCCAGTGTCTCCTGACACGTGGGGCTACAGGGCATCCCTATTTGACATGGGGGAGACCACATGGGGCGTGACCACCAGGAGGTGAGGCCACTGGGGTTTTGGAGGCTGGCTGCAGTACCCCAGTGGCTCCCAGTTCCCTTCACAGGTGACTGCTCTCCACTTTGAACTGTGTCATCAGTGTACTGTTAGCCTATGATAAGAAAGACTGTCCTCTGGAACAGAAGTGGAGACGATGGGGGATGAGGAGTGACGCCCATTGAATCTGCGTAAAAGTGTGTGCGGTGCCAGAATGGAGGCGAATACTAGGGTGGGGGTGCTTTAGCGAGCTGACAGACAATCCCAGAAAGCAGGTGTGAGTTTCGTCCGTGTGGTTTGGGGGTGGTGGGAGGAGAGAGAGCTTGTTTTTGAGCTTTCTCTTGGACTTGGGGAAAAGTTTGTCTCTGAGAAACTTGTGGGACTCTTAAAGTTGATCCAACCCCCCAGGTGACTGGAGTTTTCATATGAATTTAATATGCCTGGGAAGCAGCCCACCTGCCATGGGAACGGCAGTGTGCTTCCTGTTCCCAGAGTAGAGTGACAAGGAAATTTACATGGAGCACTTATTCTTGGATATTAAATGTTTAATTCAGGAGGCATGTCTGCTGCGTTGCCATCCAGAATCCCCTTGGCAAATTGTTCCCCCTTCTAAGAAAAGAATAGAATGAAAGGAGGCACGTTGGTTTCAGAGGGAGTGTCTATGTTGTCCTTGTGACTTTACTGATGAGCGTAGGTAAGGAAGGAGCGTCCTGGGAGAGGGGTTCTTTGGTTACAAGAAAAAAGAACAGACTCTTGTTTCTCCCAGAGGAGAGGGACGTCACCGAGCCCTTGGGACTTGCCAGAAAGCCCGGCTGGGCCTTTGTGGGGTACAGCAGCCACTTGAGTTGTGTGGTTTTGTCCGTCTGGACGGGCACCCACAGGGCAGTATGGGAGCGGGGTGCTCAGTGGCTGGGGGACTGCAGCTCAGCATCTGGGAGACACTTCGGCTGTTTGGGGGTGCCTATGAGCTGGTGAAGTGCACCCCCTTCGTAGCACAGAGAGCAGAGGCTTTAGAGAAAGGCTCCATGGTTCAGGGCTCAGCGTGTCCAGGCCCGGAAGTCTCAGCACTGGGACTCGGTTTGAATTCACTTAGCAGGTGGCACAAGATCAGACTTGGCTTGTGGTTTGCTGGTAGATCCCATTTTAAATCGATGATGATCGTCCTTAACCTTTTCTCGATGCCCAGGTCTCTATATGTACACCACAGAAGGCCCTGAGCCCTTCCGGGTACGTGCTGGCCACTGATATCCCAGAGTGGGGGCTGTAAGGAGGGGCCCTGGCTTTGACAACGTCTGGTGACTGGGAGGACTGGCTCTGAATGCAGGGTGAGAGCAGAGGTTTGCCCTGGCTAACCCTCGGGCCCAGGGGCTGCATTGTCTGTGGGTCAAACGCCCACCATATTCCATGGTAGCCCTTGCCAGGGAAGTCTGCAGCCTTCAGGAAAGAACTTGAACTTCTTAGCCTAGAGAGCCCTCAACTCATTAGACGAGTCTGGAGCAGAGTCAGTAGACTGGGGTTGCTTTGTGGGTGTCTGCATGGCGTTTTCTGTCACTGAGGAAAGAGCCCCGAGTCCTGTGCTGCAGGTTTTGTAGGATCTGAAGGGTCAGGAATGACCGCTCCTGCCCAGCTAGCCTTGTGATGGGCTTTCCCGAGTTTAATCTCTGCCCCAAGGCGGGTACATGGGGTGAAGGGTCGGCAGGCCTCACTGTCCTTCCTGGCTGAGCAGCGGGTTCATAGGACAACCCTGGCTGTTGGGAGCTGCCAGGAGGAGGTGGCAGAGGGGCACCCCAAGCCCTCCTGGTCCTTCCTGGGACCCGGTCTCCGCGGTGAGGGTCATCTATCACTTGGACTGAGGCTGTGCTCATGTTTGGACACTGGGTGGTCACCACCTGCCAGCACACAGCAGGGTGGGGCACGCACACACCGCTATGTGCAGGATGGAGTGGACAGTGCAGTTGTCCCTCTGTCCTCACATGCCTGACTGCCACCCAGCCTCCTGGGTCACACGTGTGTCTGTGAAGCTGCTTCATGCAGGGTGGCAGCTCCATGTGGTTGGTCCCTATCCCCTGCGCTGGGCAGTGTACATGCCCGCCCCCCCCCCAGTGAGAGGGGGTTCTGTGAAGGCCCACTCCAGCTCACTAGAGCTGACTAGTTGTAAAAAATGTGCTTTTCCAAAGAGCAGTTTTATCAGCTCATAAATCCTTCTAGAATCGACTGGAAAGTTTTCTTGTGGAGATAGTGTAAACAAGGTCTGGAATCCCACAGAGTAAAAAAGACTTCCTTTTATGGACAGCACTGGAAGGGCTGTGACTCTGGAGTGGTTTAGAAGCAGGGTCACATGGCTTGTTGGTGCTGATGTCACTCACAGCCCTGTCCTGCTGGTGACACCTCCTCAGCCCTGGGCTGCAGGGGCCCAGAGCCAGGGCACATCACGCGTTTTCGGCCCTGGCTCTGTTTCCATTCAGGGATCAGTCAGTCACCAGAGAGGAAATCGCAGCTGAGCCATGGGGAGATTTTGTATTTATGGCCCCTTTTTATTTTGGGGAGGGAGGGGTCCTCTTGCTTAGGAAGTGATGGGGGGCATGGGAAGAAGGGGAGGAGGTACTGGCTTATCACTGCAAACTCCCCACAGCACCTGTGACTATCAGGGGGCAACCAGGGGAAGGAGGGCTCCTGGCGGGTCCATGTGTCTCTTGTTTAGTCTGAGGGAAAATCCCTTCTTCTGAGGCAGGTGTCCCAAGTGCAGCCACACTGTCTCACAGAGAAGGCCGTCCCAGCTCCACGCTCACTAGCGTGGGGACGTGGGACAAATGATTCCATCTCTTCACACTTGCGCTCCCTCATCTACAAAGTGGGGACGTTCCCCAGGACACCTACTTGTCAGGCTAGTGAGGACAGCGGCTCACATGTAAAACTGGGGGGGGGGTGAGGGGGCGGATATAGTCTTCATGTTTCGTCTCATCCTTTTCCCTTAGAGCTGGGGTGGCAAGCTTCTCCCATGAAGGGCCAAATGGTCTCTGTTCCAACTCCTCAGCTCACTTGAGAGTAGCCACAGACACTACATAAACACAAGTGTGTTTCTGCTCTAGTAAAACTTGATTTATAAAAACAGGCATCAATGCAGGCAGCAAGCCTCTCCCCAATTCCCACCTGCCCTCGGGCTACAGCCTCTTCCATCTGACTGGACCTGTCACCTTTTCCCCACATCTCCCCATAGCTGGCCCGTGGGCATGGCGCTTTCTTTCCCCAGGCCTGTATCTGTGCCCTATGGGCCTGTCCCCTTGGAACTCTTCCTGGGGCCAGACCTAAGCCAGGTGGTCTGTTGGTCAAGTGTCAACCTGACAGGTAGTTGGAAGCCAGGGTGGGGTGCTTTGAGCTTCCTAGATGTGGGGACCTCCATTTGGCCGCTTTCGTGGAAAAGCATTTCTTTAGCCAGAAGTTTTCAAACAAAACAGAGTAGACTTTTCTGGCGAGAACAGAAGTGGGAGGGAAGGCGGTGGTTTCGAGCTCGTGAGAAAGGGCTGCTGGCTGGTCCCTTCTCAGAACGATGGCCTCCTGTGCACTTGGTGGCAGCCTGGTCATGTGCTTGGCCACCCCCTTTCTGCTCCAAAGGTCTCCTTAGCTGGCTCTCTCTGCATTCTGGGTGAATAAAGCGCCCCCTTGTCCCGCTGCCATTCCGAACCTTGTCAAAGCCTTTCCTGGGTCGGGGTGGCTGGCCACACCCCAGCACCATTCCGCCTTTCTTCTGTATGTGGCCTCCTGTTATGGAAGGGGTCGGGCCTCGGTCCCATTGCCAGGACAACTCCCTGTGGCCCACGTGACTCTGAGGGCCTCATGGAGGTTTGTAGTTCAAGTGCCATCATGGCTGGTGAGACCCAGGCACAGCAGGGGCTTCTCACCGTGTTCTCTGCCTGTCCCTGGCTTGGTGGGGTCTCTTCCACTCAGCACAGCCTGGGTCACAGGCTCCGCCACTGCTCAGCAAGCAGCCTCAACCCCTTGTCCCTGAGCTTGGCTACCTGGCGAACGTGGGACATGCACTCCTGCCATCTGACAGCTCTGCCCCTCATCCTGCCTGTCCCACAGCTTCTCTGTCAGCAGTCCCCTGCCACCAGGAGCAAGCTTAGAAATAGCATAGGTGGGACTGAAGAGAGATCACTGTCGGGAAAGCTGTGATCTCTCTGCAGCCTTATCGGTGAGGAACCAGAGGTTTCCTGCTGTTCACTCTGGAAAGGGTGTTTAATCAGTGGCTGTAGGAGATGCTGCATGCAGAAAGCAGGTTTGCGTGTTTTTAATTTCTTAGCACTGTCACCATAAACAATCGCCTAATAATGGACTCTGTGGGCACCGAGATGTGTCCTCCTCAGGAAATAAGAGTTGGGTTTTGGACCACGGAGCGTCCTGGGTCCCGGGCAAAGTGAGTGCAGTGAGGCCATTAGGGTGGAAAGCGAGGCTGGGGTGTGGCAGGAACCCTGTCAGCCCCCGCTGGGCGCATGAAGGCCGCTTGGCTGCCTATGCCCTGCCCAGTTGGGCCCACCCACTGTGTGTCTTCACCCCAGGTTCGAACTGATGCGTATGTGCTGGCAGTACAACCCCAAGATGAGGCCCTCCTTCCTGGAGATAATCGGCAGCATCAAGGACGAGATGGAGCCCGGGTTCCGGGAGGTCTCCTTCTACTACAGTGAGGAGAACAAACCGCCTGAGCAGGAGGAGCTGGACCTGGAGCCCGAGAACATGGAGAGCGTCCCCCTGGACCCCTCGGCCTCCTCCTCGTCCCTGCCGCTGCCTGAAAGACACTCAGGACACAAGGCTGAGAACGGCCCGGGCCCCGGTGTGCTGGTCCTCCGGGCCAGCTTCGACGACAGACAGCCTTACGCGCACATGAACGGGGGACGCAAGAATGAGCGGGCCCTGCCTCTGCCCCAGTCTTCCACCTGCTGATGCTGGGAGCCGGGACCCTGCAAAACAGTAACGTGTGTGCACGCTCGGCGGGTGGGGGGAGCGAGTTCTAACAATCCATTCACAGCCTCCTGTACCTCAGTGGAGCTTCAGAGCTGCCATGCTGCCCACGGGGACAGCTTCTCTGCAGTAAACACACTTGGGATGTTCCTTTTTTCAATATGCAAGCAGCTTTTTATTTCCCTACCCAAACCCTTAACTGACATGGGCCTTTAAGAACCTTAATTACAACACTTAATAGCAACAGGACACTTGAGAATCGAGTCTCCTCTCTCTTTCCCTCTCTCCTCCCTTCTCTCTCTCTCTATCTCTTCCCCTCTCCCTCTCCCTCACCTCTCCTTTCTTTCTGCTTCATAATGGAAAAGCATTGCCACATGCCCAGCTGGGACACCCTTTTTGTCAGCCTGAGGAAATGGCTGTCCCTCCCTCATGTCCCCACATCGCCCCTCTGCACACCTGCCTGTCACCGTAGGTCTTTATAAAACACGTTGAGATGGCATTTTTTAAAACTGTTATCTTTAACCTTCTTCGGGACACACGACATTTTAAAAAGCGCCATCACTCATCCAAGGTTGTTACCAGGTTAACGCTGCCAAATTCCGCCAAACCCCGGAACTTTATCCTTCACAACCCTGCACTTATTTTCTTGCTTCCAGAGGCGTGGGGCGGTCACTCGTGTAGGAGCCACGCGGGCCATGCACTCCCGCCTGATCGTCCCCTGGTGTTCTTTTTAAGTCTCACGCTCACACAGCTCCATTTGCTTTTGACTAGGGTATTGTGTGGGGGAACCGGACAGATGGGACTTCCTCTCAGAGAAGATGGGGAGCAGCTGAACTGGCCTCCCCGCCCCACTTCCCCACCCCCACCTTCTAGCCCCCAGGAACTCTGCAGCAAACAGGCCCTGTGGAGAGCCTGGCAGACAGGCTCTGAGTAAAGGCGGTCCACGTGCCAGTATCCTACCCCCCACCCCCAGCCTCCACTCCCGGCCCCCATGGACACAGATGGGAAGGGGTTCCCAGGGACTCAGCCCAGCTGTTTATGCAGGTTTGCAAGGAAAGAAATTCAAACACCACAACAGTCAGAAGAAAAGCAGTAAGTGGATTCAAGCATTCTCAGCGTTGTTGACATTTTCTCTGTTACTAGGACTTCTTCATGGGTCTTACAGTTCTATGTTAGACCATGAGACATTTGCATACACATCGTCTTTAATGTCACTTTTATAACTTTTTTACGGTTCAGATATTCATCTATACGTCTGTACAGAAAAAAAAAAGCTGCTATTTTTTTTGTTCTTTATCTTTGTGGATTTAATCTATGAAAACCTTCAGGTCTAACCTTTTTCCCTCTCTGCTCACTCCAAGAAACTTCTTATGCTTTGTACTAGAGTGCGTGACTTTCTTCTTCTCCTCCCAGTAATTGATACTGATATAACATAATTCGCCATGAACTGTTTGATGCCTTTTTATAAATACATCCTCCCCTCCCTGCTCCCCTGGCCCCATTAGTTCTGTTCTCACCCAGAGGCTCTGCGGGCCCGAGGCTGGTGCGGGCAGGCAGTGGCAAAGTGGTGGAAAGGCCTCGAAGGTGCCGTCCGTGTGCCGTGCCCCACCCTTTCCTCGGCCTGCTCTCACACAGCATTTGAGTCTGTTACAGTGCAAGACATGCAAACTCAGGTCAGAAAAAAAAAAAAAAAAGGTTCAGTGTTTCTGGTCACCAAGGTTGAAATGTCTCCCCTTCTCTTCCCCTGGCCTTTGTTTTGGTTGTAACACATAGATCTATTTTTTTAATTCTTGGGTACAACAGCAGTTTGAACTGCAGACACTAGGCATTTGGATGACTTTTTTTTTTTTAAGTGGATAGTGAATCCTTCCATCCCATGACAAACAGCTGCTGAGTCCAAGGGTGCAGACGAGTGTGGTCCAGCGGGTGCCTCGGGCCTTCTGCCATCACCCTCCACATGGACCTACCTGTCTGTAGAACTGAAAATCCCCAGGGACCTGCTTGGCGCTGCTGGCAGGCAGCGGGACGCAGGCGCAGCTTCCTGGGGAGGAGGGAGGGTGGGCGGCAAGCCTACTAGACAGCCGGTGGGGCAGTGCAGGCTCCCCAGTGGCCCAGGAGCCCACGCTCTCCCTCCCCGGGAACCAGGGCCTGGCTCTGCCACGCTTCTCCTTGGCCAGGAATCCAAGTCCTTGGGGCCCGGGGGTCTTGTTTTGTTTAGTTTTTAGCACTTCTCACCAGAGTGATGACAGCACAAGAGTTGCTTCTGGAATGGAAATGTTTAAATTATGAGTAAGAACAAAGCTCCAACACGATGATTGCTAGTTGTGACTGGAGACGAAACACACAAGAGAAAGTTGGTGCTTTTTTTGCTCGTCACTAGTTTCAGTTCCATCGTTTTCTCTAGCCTCTGACCCATAGATTTTCCCATTAAAAAAAAAGAGAAAAAGAAAAAAGTTAATTAAGAAGGAATTACATGTAGGGAGTTTGCTTTTAATTTATTTTCTGATTCCAGTTTTAATCACTGTAGAGAAGCCCCATTATGAATTGAAATACTGAGAAAAGGGTTTGTGTGTATGTGTGTGCGTGTAAGACAGGACAGTTTTTTCTTTTTCTTTTCCCCAAGCATTTATCTACCTCACTCTTAATTTTTATATGTGTATATACAAAAAAGTGTACATCTCACCTTCCTCAGCACCTGACAATATGCCGTTGATACTGGTAACCTCATCCACACCACAGGCCACACACACCAGGTGACGCAGGGACAGGCCAGGCTGTGTTCCAGGGGCAAAGCAACGCTTTCTCACCTCTCCACTCGTTTCAAACAGCTTGCCTTTTTCTGAGACGTTTCATTTTACATTGCTTTTGTTCTTTTCCTCTTTCCCTAAGTGGTTGTAAGGTGTCAGGAGGTTCCTCCTCTCTGACCAGTGCCCCCTGCCCTCTGCTGGGGGCGGGGGGGGAGGTGAGGACAGCACTCAGTGTGTGTGGGGGGGACACTTGGCTGTCCCCTTCTGGTTGTCTGAAACCAACTGCTTTGTGCAGATTGAATAACAAACAGAGTCCCTCATTGGAAGAGCAGTTTCCAGGTTTTGGGAACAAGAAGCGCCAAGGGGGCGGGTGGTCTCTGTTAGAACCCCACCTGGAAAGGCTCCGTGCTGGGCTTTGCTCCGGGGGTGGGGGGTGCTCCCCTTGCTGCCCTGGACCAGGCCTGTGCCAGGCGGGGACCTGTTGTCGCTGCGCTGCTTCCATTTGGTGGGACGGCTGCCTGGGCGCCCTGCGAGCTCGGTCCGCCAGGCCTCCTGACCTCCCGGCCAACCCCTTCTAGAATGTACCGCAGAGAAACGTCCCTTCTCCCTCTCCCGCCTGTTCTCTTAGCTTCACCCTCACTTCCTCCTCCCCCAGGGGAAAACAAAGATGTACCAAACCTTCGGGCTGGAAGGGGCAGTGGTCAGCGCCAAGCCTCCTCCTGCGGCGGCACACCTCGCACAGGGCTGTGTCCCGGTCCTGTCGTCCTGCTGCTCACAGGGGTGGGCAGTGCGTTCCCCGATTCCAGCAGCTGCTCTCACAGGCACTGGTGACGATCTGGGAGCCGTGGTGGGGCCTTTCCCCAAGTGTGGGCGGCTCCTTTGAAAGTCCCAGTCCTGCCGCTCGGCTCAGGAGCACCCTGTCCTGTAAGAACACGCCTCTCCTCTCCCATGTCCCCTGGGGCCTCAAGGTCATTGAGAAATGCTGTTTGATCAGGGCTTTCTTCTTCCACACTAGGTGACCCCTGGGAATAGCGGCCTCCCCTCTCTCTTTTGCACATACTTACCGGTTTCCACAACTGGATCTCTTCCTTCAGCTGGTCATAAGGGTTTTGTTTAAACTGTCTGAGTTGTCGGTGTCATTTTGTTGTTGTGTTATGTAGGTGGTTTTCCTTTAGGTAGAAAGCCAACACTAACAGTGCAGTGCCCATCATACCCAATGCTTCAGAAACACTTAAATCAAAGAGAAAATTGGCTTGCGTGATGGTGCAGTCACTTTACTGGACCAAGCCTCCCACCTTGACTACACCCAGGCATCATCCATCCAACAGTTCTAGCCTGATTTTTATGCTGATTTCCCCCCCGCTGCTTCTTGATCTCCTTCTCTTTTTGTATGCTTCGAATAATTGAATCAAGCTGAGTTGTGGCGTTTTCCATGCAACCTCCTCTGGCAGCGGCTCCCGCTGCTTGAAGTGACATGAACCACTGAGGCACATCGTTGAATCGATGTGAGTGTTCAGACATTATCACACCCAGCCCTCCCCGAGGCAGCAGGAGCTGGTGTGCTGTGGGAGACGTGGTTGAACTTCCCCTGGGTGAGACCCAGACCACCCAGGTCTCCTTCACGGGAGGTCATGACGTTTGACACGCAGCTGGAAGGAGCTTCCTCCTTGGAAGATGGAAGACCGGGTTCGTGGCCAACACTGGCCTCGCCTTCCAGCCTGTTTCTCATGACTTCATGACTCCGAACGACATTTCAATGGTAGGAAAAGTGGCTTGGCGAAATAGAAGAGTGGTTATGGCAGAAGCACCCGAAGGAAAATGCTTGGCACGAGGTGGTATGTTGGCTGGGATAACAGATGGACGAGCCAAGTATGATGCCAAATTCTAGGCCAGTCTGTCCCACCGAAGCCTCTTTCTAAGCGGCCCTCCTCTGTGGGCAGGTGGCTGTATGTGATACGGGCCGCTGTCGTGGCGGCAAGCTCACACTAGTGCAGACGGGAGAGAAGGCTAGGATGCTGGGTCCGAGGTCTTCAGCTGTCACTGTCAGGTCCTCCCAGGGTGGCTGGACGGTGTCAAGGCAACTCCTTTCCAGAACATCAGCACCTTCCAGTTGACAGTGATCTCCATCCATGCTACACCTTGGCCCATTCCAGCAATCCCAGCAATGCATTTAAGGTTTGGGGTTTGTTATTTTGTTCATGTTACTTATGTGTTTGTCGGCTGTCTTTTCATTTCCTGGGCTAAGCAGCATTGGGAGATATGGACCAGAGATGCACTTTTTAAGACCCAGTGATGAAAGCCAAGCTTCCTTACTCCACTGTGACACAGTCAGAGGTACAAAGGAGCACTACAAGAAAGGATGTTTAGACTGACCCCTCTGTTGCCAGAGACGCTGAAGATACAGACCTTGGGCAGGCCCGAGGGTTTCATTTTTGGCCTCCAATTCAGATGACTAGTGGGTCACTTGGAGAAAAAGCAGATGAACCCTCCTTGATGGTCGGACAGTAGGAAACCATTGTAATGGGTCTTGACATGATGTGAAGAGAAGAATTGTGAGCAGAAGGGCACAGGGCTTGGAAGAAGTGGGGGCCATGTTTTGAACTTGATGGTTTCTGAAGGTGTCAGACCACATCAAGGCTCAAGAGTCATCTATGGGCATTTGGTTTCGACAAATAAACCTAGCATCCTACTCTGGAAACTGTTACTGCGGAGTTAAGTTGAATCATTCAAGGAACGAACTGCATCGCGCCCGGCAGTAGCCAGTTCCGGGGTATGACTTTAGGGTTTTGTTTTATTTTGTTTCTGCAAAAACATATGATCACTCATCTGTATGTCCACGTTTGTGTGTGTCCACATCTTTCTGGTAAACATTGTTTTAATTAGTCACACATTAGCATTTTCAATAGGGCTCTTAAGTCCAGTAGATTACGGGTAGTCAGTTGACGAAGATCTGGTTTACAAGAACTAATTAAATGTTTCATTGCATTTTTGTAAGAACATAGAATAATTTTATAAAATGTTTGTAGTTTATAATCGCCGAAAATAATTTAAAGACACTTTTTTTTCCCTCTGTGTGTGCAAATGTGTGTTTGTGATCCATTTTTTTTATGACACCTGTTTACTAGCTAGCTTTACAATATGCCAAAAACGGATTTTTCCCTGACCCAAGCCATGGTCCACCCTCTTTCCCCCTATGCTTTGTGCCCTAGTGTATAACAAAGAAATGATGAGGATTGAAGTAGTTCTGTATCTTCAGTATCTTGGTCTTCCAGAACCCTCTGGTTGGGAAGGGGATCACTTACTGGTCATTTCCCTTTGGAGTGTAGTGACTTTAACAGACTAAAGAACCTCACTGGCCAGGAAGCAGCAGAGGTGTTGGCACCCAGCGGGGCACGGGGTACCCTGGGGCATGTGGTTTGCTGGGTCAGTGGTTACCGGTTCTGCAGTGCCTCGAGGTGGAAGGGCTGACTGCACAGTTCCTGGTGGTCACAACCCACCCCCCGTAGAGACTTAGCACACAAAAGATGGCAATTTTGGTGCACGCGAGGTGTGGGCTTACCTGCCTTGTGTCATGATGAATGCTCTGTTACAAGGGAGAGACACTTTCTGTTTTTAGTTGAGGCAGAACACCGGAGATCTGTGTTTGCAATACAAAAAAGTTGTTTTTAAGGAAAACTACACGCACACACATTGTTGTTGGTTTTTTTTTTTATTTTTAAGTTTGACTCCATGTCCTCTAGCTCCCAGTGAATTAAGGGCCATGTCTACACACCTCCACGAAATCCCCGTTATTGGAAACACCCAATATCTGGGTGTTTTGCGCTACATGGGAGAAAGGTCCAGAAACAATTTATTGTCAGTTTTTGACTTTTGATTCGGATGTTTGGCGTTGGCGTAGACACATGCACAGGTGGAATAGATGCTCGGCAAAAGCACCTGTCTGCTTTCTAAGCCAGTGAGGTTGAGGTGAGGTGTGCCAGAGCTTGTCTACCTCTGGAACAACGACAACAACAAAAAATAATCAAACCAGAAGGCGCGATGGAATGGATGCATCGCAAATAATGCATTTTCTGAGTTTTCTTGTTTAAAAAAATTTTTTTAAAAAAAGGTAAAAAAAAATTAAAAAAAGGTAATAACATGGCCAATTTGTTACATCAAATGACTTTCTGTGTATAAATTATTCCTAAGAAAATTCCTCTGTTTATATAAAAACAAAATCAGTAGATGAAAAAATTTTCCAAATGTTTTTGTATATTCTGTTGTAAGAATTTATTCCTGTTATTGCGATATACTCTGGATTCTTTACATTATGAAAAAAGAAACTTTGTCTATTTTGAATGGCTGAAGCTAAGGCAACTTTAGTTTCTCTTACTCTGCTTTTTTCTAGTAGTTAAAAGTACTACATGGTTTAAGTTAAATAAAAGACTTCTGTATGCATTTGGGTCTCTGATGTTGTTCCCACCGCCTTATGAAAGCATCGCTGCACTTTTGAGACCGGGAAGCTGAGCTCTGGGTGGCATGTGTGTTCACACGTGGCACTTAAAGGTGTTCTGCGTGAAGGCTCTGCTTTATCTCTACAGCTGAACGTTCCCAGTGTGCAAACTGCTGGTGAGGACAGAGAAGCTATTCTGTTTCCCACTGTATGAAATCAGCCTGAAGAAAATCTGCATACCTACAATATAGATATCTGTACTTCCGTTTTGACTATTCTGGAGGCTTTTCCTGTTCCTTCCACTGACAAAAGTCAGATCAAGGCAGGTGGGGTCTGGGTGACGCTGGGGCAAGGGACTTAAACTCCACATTTCTGTGATGTTGGTACCTCAGAGCCCGTGTGCCTACTCTGAAGGGGCAGGGGGACAGTGAGAAAGCACACACAGGCTGTGGCTCGCTGGAGGTGTTTGAAAATGTTTGTTCCTTTCAAGCTGATGACCTTGGCCTGCCCTAGGACTCTATAATCCAGGCACCAGCATCTTTGCCTGGGAAATGGTCAAGGTAGGAGATGTGAATGCATGTTCAAAAACAAGGTATAGATGTTCTAGAATTAGACCAGAGATGCTTAGACACATCAGGAGGACAAGCTGATCAGTCATAACATTGAACATGGGACATTATGCTGTGCTAACAAACACTCCATAAAGAGCTTGATGGCAGATAGAAGTAAATCAGAGGCCACGCTTCCTGGAGACCTATTGAGTCTCACAAGTACTGGCACCTAAAACAAAAGGCCTTTCTAGAAGGGGACTCTCAAGCTTGGTGTTGCCCCAAGGATTGTGCTCACCGTTTTGGAGGCGTGGCATTCAGGGCACTGTCACCAGATGACCAATAGCTAGAGGCAGGCTCATGTCTGAGGTTCTGATGGCTGTGTGGTCTGCTGTGGTGTGGACACGGGAGTCCAGCGTGGCTCTCCCATGTTCCCGGGTGGGTTAATGCACGTCCTGGTCGCCGAGGGGCATTCTGCACTTGTCCTCGGAAGGAGCAGCAGTTTCTCCTGAGGATGAAGGTACTTGGTCTTCAGATGTGTCATCACCTATCCCCATGTGCCACTTCTTAGGACCACAAATCCAGTTGGGCTATTTCTGTTTTTGCCCTCACAGATCTGGCTACAAGCTGTGGGGTCTAAAAAAAATTAATGCTTTTCCTCCCACTGCCTAAGGTCTCCTAGCTGGGATGATAAAGTAACAGACAGGTTAACAGGAGAAAATCAAAATTTTAATACATACCCCGGGGAATTCACATAAGCATGAAAATTCCAGACAGTGAGGCAACATTGGTATATAAGGCATTTTTGAACAAAGGCGAAAAGGGAGGCGGGGTAATAGATTTCAGAACCACGAATGGGTGATTTACAGGGAGTTGAGGAAGAGTGGAACATACATGGCAGGAAAATTTACTGGGTAGCTTAGAAACAATGGACGGGGTGTCTAGTTAACAGGCTTGGAGGCCTCTTGACTGATGCTAGGGTGAAAATTCTTAAAGTGATTAAACCAGGTTCCCTTTCTAAAAAGCAGGTTTCTCTTAATCTCTCAGGCAGGAAGTGTGTGTGTGTGTGGGTGGGGGGGAGTCTCAAAGGAACATCATGGTGGCAAAATTTTGTTACTTTCAGAGCCCATATTCAAGAAGGTGCATGCATATTTTGATAGTGTTCCCTCATCACTGACGGACTTTCATGTGCATTCTCGCACTGGATCTCCATAACAACTCTGCAAAGGAAGGATTTTTATTACTGTTTTATAGATGAACAAACAAGCAGACATGCCCAAGTCCCCTCAGCTAAATGACCAACCCAGGGCTCAGCCTTTTAAGCTGTATTCAAACTGACTCAGAACTCCCACATCAGCCATAACTAAATAGTCCCCGGTGTATATCAACAGGGGATGGAGGGTCACAGCCCAGGATGGGATGGGCCCTCGGGGGGGTTCTCCTGAAAGAACCTGGGAGGCCACAGAGGGGGAAATGACAGGGATGTTTATCAAGAGGGAGCTCTGGACCTCCCAACCAGATGACATCTAAAAGTTTGTAACGCGTATGGCTGGGTGCCACACAATCTGAAATAATAATGGACCAGAGTTGGAGGCCCCCTGCTTGCCACTGAGACAGAAGCTTGAATAAGGAGTGTGTGTGTGTGGGGGGGGGCGGTGATGAGGGCTCTGGGCAGTGGTGTTTGCCTATAAATACAGAAAGATCTGCACATTAACAGCTGTACAGCCGTACCCATGCATGCTGGCCACTTGCTGGCTTTGATCTGCCAGTGTGACTTTGATCTGTTTTATGTCAAAGGAGCCAGTTTCATTTGTAAAGGGGGTCTTGTAAAGTCTATTCAAAACACACAAGCATGTTAGCGGCTAATGGTCAAACAAGCAAGGCCTGCCAGCTCCTCTGTTACTAAGTTGCAAATGCTTTTTCTTACAGTGAATGGATCTGGCACTAAGTGACCACAATTTTTTTACACACGATTAAGAGAATAAGGATAGGTGGGGGCCCACCAACCTGAGAAGAAATTTGTTAGAGCTGAAGCCACCTTCAACTCTTTCCTCCAAACAGCAATGTTGCTAATGGGGCTCCCAGGGGGAAATGTGCCCCCAGAAAACACTGAACAAATGAAACTTTATTGTGAGCAGTGCAGTGTCATAAAAGCAAAATGAAAGATGAAAAGGGGGGATTTGGTTTCTAAAATGTTAGGCAGAGGAGCTAAACCTAGCTACAAACCTTCGCTTTAAAGGGAAACACTACTGGTGGGGATATACAATGGTGCGGCTGCCATGGAAAACAGTGTGGCAGGTAGGTCTTCAAAAATTAAACCTTAGGGTCCAGCAATTCCACTTTTATACACACAAAAGAACTGAAATCAGGGGCTCTACCAGATATTTGCTCAACAGTGTTCATAGTAGCATTATTCCCAACAACTAAAGGAGGGAAGCAACCCAGTGTCCATCAAGAGATGAATGGATAAGCAGAATGTAGCCTGTATGTACAATGAAATATTATACAGCCTTAAAAAGGAGACGTTCTGACCCACGTTACAACATACATGAACCCTGAGGACATTATGCTGAGTGAAACAAGCCAGTCACAAAAGGATAAATATTGTGATTCCATTTATATGAGTTCCGTAGAGTAGAATTCAGGGATGGAAGGTAGAATAATGGCTGCCAAGGATGGGGGGCGGGGGGGGGGGACAGGGAGATATTGTTTAATAGGTACAGAGTTTCAATGTGGGATGATAAATTCTAGAGATGGATAGTGGTGATGGTTGTGAAAGTACATAATGCCACTGCACCCTTAAAAATGATTAAAATGGTAAAATTTATGTTACATGTATTTTGACACAACTTTTAAAAAAAGAGTAATAAAAGAAAACCCAAACACTAGTGACTCAGTGGCTCAGAAGCTGCCCACAGCACCTGGATGCGTGAGCGTGGAGGCCAGGAATGGGGCACCCGTGCAGTGACCACACTGGTGTCCCCATGGCCATGGTCATGGATCAACCCACCATGTGAGGCTCTGCAGAACAGGTTTGTGGTTCCAGCAATCTGGGCAGGATCACACAGGCCTGCTGCAGAGTCTTTTAAGAGGGAAAAAAAAAATTACTAGGATTTCATTTTATTGTCATGAAAACCAGAACTGAAGCTAGTTAATCCCTTGTGAAATGTCTGCCTTTCCGAGTGTTCTCCTGTCTTCTGACAATAAAATCACTCTTTGTGATTTTGCTGGGCTAATTCTGAAATGTTTCCCCTCTGTGTAAACTGTTTTACAAGCAACTTTTTAAAAGCCTCTCCAAGCAGTGGAATCTCCACACAGAACTGAAACATTTACTTGTCTCTAAAACAGCAGTCCCCCCATTGGTTCTCCTGGGCTGCAGCCACTGAGGTTGAGTTTTCTGCGAAGCAGGCTTTGCGCGCGGGCTTTCTCACCTTCCTCCAGCATCTCCTGGATGATGGCCTGTAAGGCTTTTCCCAGCAGACTGGCCGGGAGCCGTGGCGATAACGGAGGGATATGGATGAGCGCCGCGCACCCATTTCCATGATGCAAAGACAGGTAGTAGGTGTAATCGCAGACATATCTGCAAACGCAGGAAACGCCAAGTTACTCCTTGGACCAGCCTGTAAGCTCAGGGGAATGTCAGCAGACGTGGCAGTACGGCAACCCCAAAACATGAGGGAGGACTGCCACCCAGGGAGACGAAGGTGCTGTCCTTCTGGTTCTAGGCACCATGGTCTCATGGTCAGCTGGTGGCCAAGCCCGGGAAGGGGCAGACTTTCAACCACTACACCAAAACACCTTTACCCCGCAAACCTCTCTCATTCATGTCTGCAGTGAGTCATTTATTGGTCCATTCATTCTTTGCGGGGAGGAGAAATTACCTACTGGGGGTCAGAGTTTGCAGGCACAAAGGCAAGTGAATCTTTATCTGGGGCGAAATCAGAATCGTTCAATCACAACTTTGGCCACAATACATAAAAAATAAAGCATCCACAAAATGGTAGTGGCTCTCAAAATCTGCCTTTTATATCTTTTCTCTATCAATGTACCAAAGGCCTTGGAGGAGGAGGGGGCCTTGGAACCGAGACCTGGGGTGGGGCACAAAATGCCAGTCTGCAAGGGCTACCCTGGGGTGGCACCCCGTGACCAAGCACCCAGCTGGACGACACAGGGCGGCCTCTTGGGGGGAACGGGGGACGTGAGGAAGAAGCATTGGTCAGAGGACCCTGCAGCCCTCCTCCCCTACCTGCTCAGTGACTCGACAGAACGCACCTGCCCGCATCTCGGGAAAAGGCCACCTCCACACCCTCCACAGCCGCACGCCTACTGACCACCTTCATGTTGACCCGAGACTCAATCACTTCCGGGCCATCCGGCAGGCACGCACCACGCTCGGGCCGGAAGCCCCGGATGTCCGCCTCCCGGAAGCCGCGGTTCTTGCCGCACTGTTCCAGGACGATGGTTTTGGCGGCAGCGTCCAGGCCCACGTGCACGGTAAGCTGCGTAACCATGTGACAGCAGAGGGATTAGGGAAACTGAGGCCCACGTGGTCACCAGATAGGGCCCAACAGAGGGAGAGCGCGCGAGGCCGCGAAACGCCTCAAACTCCAGCTGCGCTTGCCCGCCTCCCCGCCGCCTGCCAGCTTCCTCCTAATTAACACGCTGGAAAGCAAAACAGTGGGGCGGAAACCCATGCGGCACTGCATTGAAGTGCTTTTCTATTTCAAAATATTCTTAAACAGTGTAGAATTTTTTAATTTTTATTTTTGCCCCGGGCGTCCGTCTGGTTTCTGAGACTCCGTACCACAGAAGACACTTAGCGAGTCCGGGGAATCTTATCGCTGAGGAAACGATAACACAGGACGTCAGCAGCAGGGTGGTGCCATATTGTTCGCATTTTTGGAGCTGATGACTTTTCCTCTTGAAAACATAGATGCCAAGCGTTTTATCAAAACATTTGAGGCGAAGTCTTAATGTTTGGGAGGTGTAAGGTTTGTTCGTCTCATCATGTGGTCTCTGTGTTTTTTTATTTTTCTTTTTGGGGGGGGGTATCAGTTTTTTACGTAGTAATTCTTGGCGTAAAATCAGCTGGGGGTGATGAGGATGGGCCTTGCCCAGATGGGTCACTCTGCCACCTTCCAATGTGAGTCACCCTCCAGCCGCTCTGCAGTGTCCAAGAAACCTAGTCTCGCGGCCATCCTGCCCTGCACGGGCATGGCTGGGACCTCTGTGTTAGGAGGAAACTATCTTGGAGTCCTGGCTGGGAATAAAGCTTCCATTTCTCTTCCTCCTTTTCTCGCTCCAGAATCTTCTTCCAAGATATACTCTGTATTTCATCTTCAACTTTTAGAAGCAGACCCAGAACCTGATGAAATTGGCTGGAACCGTATTGGTGGCATGTGGGAGTAGGGTGGACTTTAGCCGTCAACCCTAGAACCAGGCTCCATCGGTTCCCAGGCTCTGGGGCTCCGACACATCCTCAGCCCCCAGCCCCACCCCCACCGGCTCCCCAGCCATCCTTTACTTGCGGTTGAAGATCTTCCCAGATCCTGGTGACCCTCTGCTTCACCTCCCTGTAATCCACGGGCAGCTGAAGGGTCCGCAGCTCCAGCTCCATGTCCGTCCCCAGGCCCAGCTTAGAGAGCTCCTGTACAAAGAAGCAGGCAGACTCATCTCTCTTGGTGGAGGGTAAGGGGGAGTCCCTGAAGCGCCAGCATGTGGGGTCATCCAGCTCACCCCAGGGGCCTTCTGTGGGCCTGGACCCTGCCCTCAAGGAGCTCACATGGTGGCGAGGGGCCAGCAGGACAACCACAGTTCCTGCCCCTCGACGTCCTGTGAACTTGCTCTTGTCAGGTGTGGGTACCCCAGAGGCACACTTCACCCAGCCTGCAGGTTAGGACATAGTTCACAGAGGGAGTGTAGGGGAATTCTAAGGGACAGATCGGGGTGAGCCTGGGGAAGGATGTGCCACGCAGAGGCATGGGGTTGGGGGACCCACAAGTCTTTGGGCAGGACTGGTGTTAGCACCCCTGGACTCTTGACTTGAGCAGTAACTGCCTGTAGCACCCCCAGGCATGTTGACAAGTAACCCACCACCACCAGTTGTATCAGGGAGCACTGTACATGGGAGGAGGGTGGGGACAGAAGCTAGAAAAGTCTGTGGAAGCCGGATTGAGTGCTTAGCTAAAGGTTGGGTTTTCTCCTTAGGGCAATAGAGGCCATCGAAGGATGTGCACAAGGAGCTAATGAGGCAGAGCTACACCCTAAAGAATGGAGGTGGAGGTGGAGGTGGACTTGGGGTGCCATCGGGTTGATTTTGGACCTGCTAGGTTTGAAGTACCCAACGGGAGCTGGTCACTTGGCTCTGAGAGGCTTCTGGGGAGTCTCTGGCATGGCGGAGCAGCCAAACCCATAGGTTTAGGTGAGATCAAAAGAGAGAATGCAGGGAGAGGAGAAGGGCTGTGCAGAAAACCTAAGGTCAGGGGCACCCTCCTGCAAGGTCAAAGACATGGCAGACAATTTGGAAGGAAAAAAGCAGGGGAATGAGAGCTTAGATGTGTGCATTTCACTGTTGGTAAAATTGAAACCGAAAGACCGTCCCTCAGAAGGCCAAGTCCTCCCCTGTGCCAGGAGCTGCGCTTGTCCACCAGGATGGTTTTGGATTAGTGCCGCCATCTTTCCTGACACCCTTTCCTGGCATTTTAGGACACCCAGGCGCATGCTTCCTGCCAGGGCTGTTAAGCCTGCCCCAAGGTCACAGACAGGAGACTCCAAGACTCTGTCCTGGGCTTCAGAGCAGATGGCAGATGGTACCCCGATGCCTGTGCCGCTATCATCAAGGAGGGCACTTCTGCCGACTTTCAGTGACTCAGGTCTGTCCTCAACCAGCTCAGCCTCCCTGAGGGCTCTGCTCCATCCTCCACACACCCACTCGGAAGCCCAGTTGCCTCCATCAGCTCAAGCTCTGCTGTCTTCCAAAAGTAAGTGCCAAGACCACATCCCCATCTGCGGCCTTGAGGGATACTTCATTTGCCTGACTCTGCTGGTGGGAGGCAGGAAGGAGGCCAGGACATGCCAGGCAGTGGCCTGGAGGGTGATGGAGGGAGCTGATCAAGGGTCCAAGTGGGCATCCCAAGGGCCAGACAGACCAAGGGGGTTCCAGGTCTTGTGACGTCATCTTGGCCCCCTTTCCTGCAGGGAATGAGCGAGGGTGGACACTGAGGCTGCATGGGCCCCAGCCCTCCCGGATGCTGCCAGTTCAGGGGTAGGGGCTGGAAGGTGGCATGCTGGGGTCGCCTTGGGCTCTGTCATGAGGGCTGGCTCAGGGCTGCTTCTCGGAACCCAACCATACACCTGTGAAGAACTAGTTTCTTCTACTCAGTGGCATTGTCACAGGGCCTGGTTCTGAGCAGGGGCTGCAGAGGAGCCCCAGAACCAAACGGAGTTGCCTGGGACTGTTTTCAGGGTTCCACCCTGAAGAGCTGCTCTAATTCCGTTGTCGGTGGAAACATCGGTTAACTATTTTCAGCAAGCCTGCAGGGAAGGCAATGCCTGAGGGCTGGAGACAGGCCCCCTGAGCCCCGTAGGCCCATTCTGGACCAGCATCCAGCCAGCCCAGGAGGGGTTAGGCAGTGCATCCTTGTCACGTAAGAATGCAGCTTTGCTTCTGGGCTGGCACGTGTGCCCCGACCAAGGCAGGCCACAGTGCGAGCCCCCTCTGCTTTTCTCTCCACCACAGCCTTTTCTTCCCCCACCCCAAGCCAGCTGAGAAAGGAGATGAGAGAGCGTGCACCTCTGGACTCCTTGCAGGTCTTCCAGCTGCTGCGTGGGTTCGGGGGCTGGGTTTGGGGAGCTCATAGCATGCATTACCTGTGGCTGTCATAACAAAGTACCACAAACTGGGCAGCTTAGAACAGACATGTATTGCTTCACAGTCCTTCAGGAAAGAGGTCCAAAATCAAGGTGCAGGCAGGGCCATGGTCACTCTGGACCTGGGGACCTGTAGAAGAAGGATCCTACCTGGCCTCTTCCAGCTCCTGGGAGCCCTAGACTTTGATTGGCCTGTGGCAGCATAACTCTAGTCTTCACGTCATCTTCCTTCTGTGCATGTCTCTCTCTGTGTCCAGATTACCCCGTTTTATAAGGACACTCAACCCATAACACTCTATAAGGACACGCTTTCCAGAAGGCTGATGGCATCAGTATAAAGTGCCAGCTAAACCCAACTGTAGCTCTCCTTGGCATTCATAGAGCTGTGGTGAGAGAGAGAGCAGTTGACATTGCAGTTGATACTTCTGTGTATTTTACTTATCTGAAAACAGTGCCCAGGAGATTAAAAGGTCCTGCTTCTGCTCATCAGGTGTTTCCTTTCAAGCTTCCAGTCTGGTGCTCAGACACACTTGACTCTAGGCTGACAATAGAATCCCCCTGTTGTATTCCAGCAGAACTCTTGGTTTGGGGGCTGCCATCCATCCACCTTAATATTTCATCCCAGGAAATGGGCACATGTCCTTTAGGTGGAATAAATACAGATATCACACATTGTCTCCCATCAGCTCTGGTCACTTTTTGCCACCAAATAACTTCAGGACAACTTCTAATATGTAGAGATCTTTGGATACCAGAATTGCAGCGAAGGGATTATAGACCAGTATAAACTTGAACTTGTTCACGTATTGCCTTCATATTCTTCTCCAGTATCTTCTGGGTGCATTTTCTCTTTCTAACTAGAATGTCACCCTCTTTTTCCTCTTTCCTTCCACTATTGTCCTGATGAAAGGAGAGCCTGTAGCTTGGCGGTTCTGTTCTTTCACCAGTGACAGGGACTCTTCTAAGGTGCCTCCAGCCTCCCCTGGAAGGACGGTGGGGCTGGTAGTCCCCACCTGGAAGGCCAGCTGGTTCCTCTGAAACCCTTTGAGCAGCTGGAGGAGCCAACAAACGTCCCCCGTGGAAGACAGAGGACAGTCAGGAGGGCTCACTCAGGCCCTGGCCAAGGTGCTTGGATGGCCTGTGGAAGTCTGCAGCCATCCTGAGGTCACCAGAATGTGTGGTCCTCCATACTGATGGTGTAGGGGGGTACCATGGGCTGAAATGTGTCCCCAGCAAAATGCACATGTTGAAGCCCTAGCTCTTAGTGTGATGGCATCGGAGATGAGGCCTTTGGGAGGTGACTAGGTTTAGATGAGGCCATGAAGGTGGGGCCCCATGATGGGATTAGTGCCCTTAGAAAAAGGGGGAGAGAGATCAGGGCCTTCCTTTCTCTGACATGTGAGGACACAGCCAGAAGGCAGCGTTCTGCAAGCCAGACCCCAACTGTAGTGTCACAGGGAAAGGCACGGGCTTTGGGGTCAGAAAGACATGGTTTGAGCCCTGGCTCTGCCACCGTTCACCAGGTAAACTTGGGCAAGCTATTTAACCTTGGTGCACCTCAGTTTTCTCATCTGTGAAATGGGGATAATTAAGAGTCAGGGGTTTTCACAAATATTAAATGATTCACAAAAAGTGCCCAGCACACTTCCTGGCACATAATCGGTCCTTTATATGAGAGATCAATGCTTATAATTAACCCATATTAATTTGAGAAAGACATGTAAGAGGCATTTGTCGAGAGTGACATTTATTAGCATTTGATGAGCTGGGGCCTGTCAGAAGCAGTGAGTAGAACATTCTGCGCCAGCAGACGGCAGGCCGCCGGCTGCCACCACCCTTGCTGCTGAGAAGGGTGGGCTGTCTTAGCAAAGAGAATGTAGGTTCTGTGCAGACCTAGGGAGAGCCAGGGGTTTGTGCCTTCCGGACTGGCACGCTTTCTCAGCTAGAGTTACAGGGTTTTGTGCTCAGTGGGGGAGGGACAGAGCCTGGCATAACCACCCTCTCTCAGGTGAAACCCAGAGCCTTGCCCCAGTGGGAGCGGTGACCAGACTCAACAGGGAACTGAGTACTGTGCTGAGCTCATAATCCCTCAAAAATGCCTGAACCCCATCAGTTGCAGAGGTCCCGGGGAAGCCTGCCTTCTGCCTCTTTTCTCCCACTTCTTCCTGCCTCCGTGTCCTCCAAAATCTGGTCTCCAGGAACAGATGGCAGTCTAACAAAGGGAATTGAAAGAAGGAGAAAAGACACCAGTTGCTCTCTGAATTTTTTCAAATCCACCAGAGCTGTGGCACCAACTGGTCTTGCAAAACAGTTGCTGTTTTTCCAAAGTCTGATTCTTCCCCTTATCAAGTGAGCGTTTGGGACGAGCACCAGGAAGCAGGAATGCTTTTCATCGTTCAGTCGTTGAAGAAAACCTCCCGAGCAAGCGTTTGTAGGGTGGTCCTCCGCCCAGGGCTTGGTGTGTCCGGGAGGGTATCATTCCCTGGAGCAGACGCAGACTAGAAAGAAAGTTATGACAAGAGTCCTGGTTCACAGGGCCTTGTTGGGCCCCCCTCGACTTGGGAGTAAGAGAGAAGGAACCCAAACTCCTCCTCTTCCTCTCCTGATTGAGTTTGGGCAAATCATTGAAACTTGCTGAGCCTCAGTTTCCCTATCTGTAAACGTAGTAGGAACAAGGCCTCCATTATCGGGGTTGCTGTGACTAAGACCATGCACATGGAACTGTAGCCTGAGAGGCTGCACGAGGGAGGCTCTGACCAGGCCCTGGGGGATTTGCAG